TTTTAGGAATTGTGTGTCACGCTTCTTTAAAAAGCTCAATTTCGGCTTCACACATCGAGTTAGGTTAGCTGACCCCTAAGGGTAGCGCCTAGCAGAAACGAAACGCACAAAATTGCACAACGGCAATTCAAGAACAACGGCTCAAACGGCCAACCAAGAAGAATGGGGAGCTAGCCCCGCAAACCACTCTCAAGCCTAATTAGTAGACGAAAACACGGTTAAGAGTTAAGGAATTTATTACGAATGATGTGGGATAGATTAGAGATGAGAGAAAAGAACTAGAATTTACAGAAAAGGGGAGGGAAAATTATTAAAAGGAAAAGTATTAGAGGGGGATGAAAATGGGAGAGATTAGGAGAATGAAAATAGAGATTTTAGGAGGCAAAAGGGGTAGAATCTACAGGAAACTCTAATAGTCAAAATAAGGGGAAAAGAAGGGGCAAAAGTCACGGGGTCGGGGGAAGAGACAGGGATTCGGGGAAATTCCAACCCTCTCGCTGGGCAAGGGGGAAAATCGTGCGCCTCTGGGGTCGGTGCGCGCGCGCTCTGTCCTTGGCGCCTGTATCGCGTCGTAGCCGGGCCAAAGAGGGGCTCCAGGAGGCAAGGCCTCCGAACTATCGCCCAAACTCCATTCTCCAAATTGCGCCATGCTGATCCAATGCTATGCCTATTTCTAATCCCTCACTGACGTGTCGGTTTCTATTTTTTGCCCATCTGTTCCCGTTACTCTAAATCCTTAAGAAGTTCTCTCTGACTCTCTCTCTCTCTCTCTCTCTCTCTCTCTCTCTCTCTCTCTCTCTCTGTGTCTCGCTTCTCTCTCGCTCTCTCGCCCTGACTTAATTTTCTCTCTCTCTCTCTCTCTCTCTCTCTCTCTCTCTCTCTCTCTCTCTCTCTTTCTCTCTCTCGCCGAATAGGGGGGCGACACATTTCCGTGCCAATTTCCCGTTCATATTCGCCTGAAGATATTTATGGTCCCGCCCCGAAAGGGCACCGGCTTCTTATAATTCTAATTTTTGTGCCCCCTCGCGGCTCCATCCAACCGTAAGCTGATCAATTTGCAGAACAGCTATGCATTTTTAAGCGTTTTCAAGGGGTTCGGAGGTTCAAAATGTGTCAATCCTGAATTTTAACGCCACATTATTCTTCCTAAGTGCCATAAAAAAGCTCTGCTAGCTTGCCCTGCATACTTTAAATTCCAAAGATATGGACGGCCTGCAGCCCGCTTCTTAAGAATTTTTTTGCGCTTATCTTCCGTTTTTGTTTGAATTTTTCAACCCCGTCATTTGTTGTATTTGGTACTTTTGACCTCCTCAAGTTCCAAAGGGCTCCTATTACGTTTCGGTGTTCTCGAAAGTTACCTCATTCCCCTGTTTCAGCGACCACTCTAAAATGCAGCCTCGGCCCGGTTGGGCCCTCCTTTCACTTGCCACCCTTATGGGCTTTCACCGTAGTAGTACTGTAGCAGCACAACAACACGAGCACAGGTATGTTAATTGGAAGGTAATGGAGTGGAAAAAACGTAAAAATGACAAATACATTGAAGAAAAATTTTCCCATCGGAGAGCGACGAAGTTTGCATAAAAGGAGAGAGCGAGAGTGAGTGTCATTGAGAGGGAGAGAGAGGGGAAAAGGGTGAAAATGAGAGGAAAGAGAGAGAGCGATAGAGAGAGAGAAAGAAATAGCGAGACAAAGACAGAGAGTGAGAGAGGCGCTGAGAGCGATAGAGCGAGCAAGGGCCATCTGAAGTTGCGTGTCCCCGTTTTTTCAAACCCCAGATAAAAATGCCAATTTGCAATTAGCGGGAACGCCGCCGTATGCGCCAGGCAAAAAAAAATCGGAATTCCCTCTGGGAGAAAGCCATCTAGAATTGGGGAATGCCAGGCTAAGCCAGCTGCGAATTAGTCAAATTGCACCGCTACCGTGCCCGTTAATTGGGTATCGGAATTTTTTAGAGGGGAGAGCGAGAGAAAGAGAGAGAGAGAGAGAGAGAGAGAGAGAGTGAGAGAGGAGAATGCGTAAATTTAACATGTTTAGCTCATTGGATGACGACCCAACAGTCCCACTCCACGTCCCCGTAATGCTATGCAATAACAACACCGATTTTCAATGCGTCTGCGCCGGCGACCCGGCCGAGCTTGACGAGCCGAAGATAAAGAAAAGTGTGTTTATTCGTCAACTATATCATCTTTAAAATTTCGAGATTGGATAGGTTTTTCTGCATAGTTTTCGAAGCTCATTTTTGTAAAATTCTGCTGCCTTAACATAGCCAAAATTTCGCTGGAACGGTATCTTCAATGTTTTTAAATCGTGCAAAGTCTCCTTTTTAGTTGCCCGTTTCAAACGGTCGTCCACCTCGAAAAAGTCGGCAAAATCCCAGATCCCTCGATGTGAGACGTTTATGGAGGCGAGTAGATTTTAATTTTGCGCGTATTTTCCGATTTTCATAAATAGTTGGCGACGGTTCTATCGCTCTCTATCTCGCTCGCTATCTCCGCTCCTTCTCTCTCTCTCTCTCTCTCTCTCTCTCTCTCTCTCGCTCTCTCTCACTCCCTCGCTCTGTCTCTCCATCTCTCTCTCTCTCTCGCTCTGTCGCTCTATCATTCTCACTCTCTTTCTCTCCCTCTCTATCTCTCTTACGCTCTCTCGAGCTCACTTTCTCTCTCAGTTGCTCTCTCTCTATCCCTCTCTCTGTCGAACATATTCAACATCCCTTCAAAACACCTTCAATTTTCCGCTACACTACTTTCCACAACAAAATAATCGCAGTAATGCGATGATTAATAGCCCAATTATTTGTGTAGCCAAACGCTACTTCCCCCAAGTTAATAATCCCCGAGAATTCACCCCCGAAAATCCGCTGCAATCCTCCGTATCGTTACGTAGTCCCCTTGGGGGGTTGTCTGATCGACCCCCCCCCGTTAATCCCATCTTCTTTCCCCTCAATAAAAAACGGCCCACAAACACACACCTAAAAATGCGTGGTAATCCGTTCCCCCCATCAGCACCCTGCGATTCCATTCTATGGCCCAGGCAAAAAAAACTGAAGATATGTAGGGATTCTTTGCGGGGTCCGGGGATACATTGATTACTGACCAGGAGTGTCCTTTTGGTGTCATCGGCAAATCGATTCGAGACCCAACTCATTCGATAGAGAATTGAATTCTGAACAAGACTGTGTTGTTCATTTTTGCGGAATGGCTATCCCTGATTTTTTAAAATTAAAAAACTGCCGGCGACGCCCATACATTGGTGCTTGGGGAGCGAGTTGTTAAGGTTTCGCGCTTGGTTTTTTAATTCAATAAAATCAGGGACAACCATTCCGCAAAAATGAACAACACAGTCTTATCAAGAATTCAATTCTCTATCGAATGAGCTGGGTCTCGAATCGTTTTGCCGATGACACCAAAAGGACACTCCTTGTGAGAGGGGGATTTGGGGTTTAAAGGGACTGGAAAGGCAGGAATTTGGCGTCACTTGTGGATTTTTGCGATAATCTAGAAAAACTAAGGCTAAAAATCAGACTGGCGTGTTTTAAAGGGATAGTGCCCGGAAGCTAGCCGGAAATTGAAGTATATAATTCGATGTTATGTTTTTAAAGGGTCGCAAAACCCCTTGACAGCTATGCTTTGCTCGAAATCGAACGTAAAAAACAGTTTGGTTTTACTCCAACTCCAGCGCTGTTCCATTTTTGCCACTTGCTATGGTTTTCCCATATTTTGGATCGTCGTGCACCTGTCGAGACCCAGCTGGTAGAAGGGGTCGATTCTCGAGCTTCCTACTCCTTTCAAAAAAACAACAGAATGCTAACAATGCAGATTTCGAAAGTCTCCAACTAGAAAAACACGCTAAATAAATTAGGGTGTTTAAAGGAGAGGTAGGTGCGCTACGCTCCGGGCAACGCGTTTCCTTCTGACATGTTTGTCACGGTTTACAGAGTTTTCCTAGGGTCGCTGCCCGTTTAAGACAAGTTTTGCAGACCCCAATACCTCTTAAAAAATCGTAGGCATTTCATTTCTCTGACAATTTGGTTTTGGACAAGGTCTGCTAGCTGTCACACTCCCTTTAAATGCTCCTCAACGCTCCTCTAGAGGGTTTTATTGTTCAAAATCCAGCTACCGAAATCCTGAAAAGCTTAAATAATAAATCAAGGCCAAACTCTTTATCCAAACCAGACATAATTCCGAAAAATCTCGAATTTTCATGGTTGTTTGGCATAAATTCCGATTCCGGAGACCCTGTGTCCTGCCGGAAAGCTGATTCCGCATCCCGAAGTTCCGGAAACCAGGCAAAAGTGGCGCTGGCGGTTTAGCTATTTATCAGTGGGCAGCCCATCCGCCCAAACCAGTGGTCCACCGCTCTAGATTGTCTACCCCTTGCTGGGCCCCAGACTAGGACCCCCGGTTGGGCCACATAGCCGAGTAAATAAATCCCCCCTGGCCTCGGAAGGGGCCCAAAGCGCCAGAAGCAGTGAAGAAAAGACTCGGAAAAGACGCGTTGACAGGTCCCGAAACGAAAACCACTGAAATGGAACTCTGGGAAGGGAGATCCCCCGCTTTTGTCTCGGGGCAAAAAATGGGGACCTGCCAGACAATGAATATGTTTTAGAGAAATTGCAATCGAAAATTGTGAAAAGATATCAAAAGAATCATTACGTAAAGAGTAGTAATGCGGAATTTCTGAAAAATTACTCATTGTCAGTATTGTTAACTCTCGTTATTGTCATTTTTCAAAACTAGGGCAAGCCAGCAAATTTGAGGGATTTTGAGGATAATTTTGGAGGAATTACAGCAAAAATACGACGTATGCAGCCGTAATGCGGAATTTTCGAGAAAAAACTACCTATAAAATCGCGGGTAAACTAGCAGAGATTCTTGCGGATAGCGGGGAAATGAGTATTGTACAATCTAGCAGAGATCCTATGCGGAACAGGCCTTGGATATGAGTTAAATGCACAAAGTCGAAACTCCATTTTTCAGATCAAAGACCTCCCCGTCGTCGACATGCGATTACGGCATGTAAATCTGCAAACGATCGTCAAGGTAAGTCAAGTCAAGCCGAGCTAACATTCAAAGAGCGCTTAACTCTACACTAGTCTAGCTAAATTGAAGTCGAAAATTGAAAACATCTATTTAGGGCTCCGAGAGCTACGAGGTGTACTTTAAACGGCGGATCGCATCGATCATCTCGGCCTACTGTGAGCACCGGGCGAACGAGTGCCCCGGGGTCAGCTTGCGGCTCACCAAGGTCAGTTTTTGATTAAGTTATTATGGATAAAATGTTGTAAAATGCGGCAATACAAAATCGATTTAGACCAAGAGTTTAATTATAAAATCAAACCTAATTAGATTCATGAATTTAACCAGTTTTACATGGCGTAATCAATCCAAAACAAAAAAAAAAGAACTTTTCAAAAATTTCTTTTTTTCCCTAATCAAATTTAACTAAATTAAATACCTTATTTAGCGAGTTTTACATGACGTAATCGATTGCATTGACAAAAATCAATTAATTACCTAGTTTCTCTAGCAAAATCGCTATAATTTGCACAAGTTTTTAGGGAAATACGTTTTCTGAGGTATCAACAGAAAGGGCGTGTTTTTCTGCGGTTTTTGGCTTAACAAAGAATCTTAATGACGGTTTCAACCTAACTTTTTCCGTTTTAATACTACATACGCTTCGGATTAATCGCTTATTTCCTTAATTGGCTCGATAAAAACGATATACTGTATCATACTTCTCTTTTTGCTTCCTGTGCGTGCGTGCGTGGCATGTGAAGTGTCCCCTACCTTGGAATTTCTCGAATTTCCCGGATTTTTTCAAAGTTTTGTGGGGTTAAAGGAAGGCGGAAGGCAAAATTATTGTTTTAAGCTAAAAAATCTCTAATTACCGTGGCCCCAAGTCTTTTTAAAGGGGCCGGGAAGGCTAGCAAATTCGATTTTGCTGATTTTTAAACGTTAAAATATTTGAAATGTCGGTTAATTCCGCTTCCAATTTTATTTTTTTCGCTTATTTGAGCTTTTTAATTGCCAAAATTTTCCAGAAATTAGCTTAGGCAAAGAAACCGGAACTTTACATGAATTCTGCCCTCCTAGGCCTAAAAAATCCAGAAGATAAAATTATGCAAATGAGCACCTTGAGCAAGAGCCTGTGCGTGCGTGCGTGCGTGCTGTTATGCTTCTTGTCCCTAAAACGGCCGAATCAAAATACCAAAAAGAAACGATAAAAAACAATTGAAAAATTGGGCCGGCTTTAGGAGGAGATGATGTCCCCCGACGGTGTACTGTACAACATCGACCCGTCCGAGCCGGTCATTACGCAGGTTTGTATAAAAATATTAAAATCTAAAAATCGCAAATGTTTATTCGGCGACATCATTAAATTACGTCCTTGTTTAATAACCATTCTTGTAATTAAAATATGTGTTTTGTTTAGTTTTTATTATTTTTACCGAAAAAAAAGCATAAATGTCAAAAAAACCGGAAGCGCTGGCAATTTTTTGACGGATTTTAAAGCTTATAAATTAGCCTATTAATGCGTCCTGTCTAGTTCCATTTAAACTACCGTATTTAATTTATTTTCAATCAAAATCCTGAGACTAAAAAAATTAAACATGTGAACAAGCATTCAAAAATCTCGAAAAACTTCCAGTGCTTCTCTGCCTTATCTGTCGCTTTAAAATGTTAAAAGATGCTAAACTCCTCTAAATGTCGCTTGTCCCGCTAGTCCTGGCCCCTAATGGCATGTCGTCGTGTGTTGCCCATAGTTGCCCCCCGTACATCGTCCAGCGTAAAAAGCGTACTCCTACAGTATAAAGTCAGTCTGAATATAAGCCAGCAGAACTGTGACGTAAGTGTAGGTGAGATAGGCGGTAAATGACTACGTATAACCCCTCTTTCGCCATGAAAAACATGGTCCTATTTGAATTATCATATTTGTGTTATTCCCTGATTTTGTATAGCTTCTGTCAAGCACCATTTTTCAGGAAAACGTGATCATCGTCCGAGTCGTACCGGAGCCTCGAAACTACACGAGGATACAGTTTGCGGTAGCGAAACATGGCGTATTTTTCAAGCTCAACGACAAGACGCTCATCGATCCGGTTAAGGTATGTTTTTAGGGGACGGGCTGGCTATCAGAGATTATTATGGAAGCTAGACGAGCGTACCACGACGGGGGCTAGCAGATATTCCAGAGTGCCTAAGGAATCCCTTCAGGCCTTGGGCAGGCTAGTAGCAATCCTCGAGGAAAATTTAGAGATTAAAAAGCGCATTTTTAGATCAAATACATCCTCGGCTCCCAGGTCGGCCCACTTTCACGGATACTCGGCGGGATTCGGATCGACAGCGTCCGGGTCAGCCAGTGAGTTATTTTTAAGGGAGCTTGGCGGTAAAAATTAGGCAAATTCGAGCTCTTATGGTACTCAATTACAGTATCCGCCGGGTGCTGTCGAAGGCAGATACCGACAACTCGAAGCTGTTGTGGCTGCTCTATGGGGTTGCCGCATTTTTCGTGATTTGCTGGACGATCGGAGCCATCAAGATCTATAGGTAAGAGAGAGAGCGAGAGAAAGAGAGAGAGAGAGAGAGAGAGAGAGCGAGAGCGAGAGAGAGAAAGACAGAAAGATATGACGCGCGTTGCGTGGGTCCATGTTTTCCATGTTTCCCCGTGCTATCGGGGGCCCTCTCTGGCGTCTGTTTCTGGGCCCTTTTCGGGCCCTAAGGGACTCTCTTGGGGGGAAAGAGAAGGAGTGAAGATAAGCGAATCATTTCCAGAAATCGCGAGGAGAAGAAGCGTCGTGCCCGTGAGAAGAAGGCCAGCGAGGAGAATGCGATTGCGCGAAAGCCCGTCAACGATTATGGTGTGTGGGCGGGGGGATTGGCAAAAAGTCCAGGGCGGAAATTTGCATAATTAAGACCTAAACGTTAAAAAATTTTTGACGTGGATTAAATGACATCTAAACCTTTGAAAGACGCTAGAAAATCTGTATCTCTTTTTTTTTAGGCAGCATTGCCCCGGAGCAGCGGAGCAGGAGCCACAGCAAGAGCGAGCGGGGGAAGAGCGCCGAGAAAAACCAGGTGGGTTTATTAAATTAAGTCGCGTATTACGTAAATATTTACTATAGTTGTGAATAAAAGATGTATGAAATGATTAAAATATGCTAATACAAATAAAATGCCAGCTAGTTTCTAAATATTCGGCTTCAAAAATTTTTAAGATTGCTAAATTTAGTTGAATTTCAATATTTCAAAGCAATTTGAAGATTCAGATAAAATAAACATATAATCTAAATGATAGGCATTTTTAAAATATAGAAATTATAGAATTCAAAATATTGAAATTATTTAAAATGTTGGTTGTTTTTCTTGAAGTCATTTCTCTGACTGAAATACTGAGAAACCTTTAAAAAATTTGAAAATCGGCAAAACATTGAGTATTTTTAGGTGTCCTTAGCCCCTTTAAAATTAGCTATTTCTAATTGTAATATTCGCGCATATTTTACTATAAAAATTTTATGATCCTTTTTTAGATAATCAAGCCCAACGGCAGCTGCAAAGACGAGCGACCGGCGGCGATAATCGTGGGCGGATATACAGAAATTGACGAGCCTGGTCGGTTTTTTGTGATTTATTTTGATCACTCTAGACCTGGATTCCCAAATTTTACAACAAAAAATTAATAAAATGGTAAATTTATCGTCCTACAGTATCAAAAACACCATCTGGCCCTCGGATAGACGACCGAGCCGCCCGACAAATGTTCGCCTGTGATCCCTCACAACTGCCGAAGGAGATGTCGTTCGATGTGTATGAGTGAGTCTTATTTTAAAGGGGCTTACTTAGTATTGTTGGCTACTCATTAACAGAATCATCGCCATACCGCATTGCCTATCCACAGTAATTTTACCTTCAGCGAAACCCAGCTGCCAGTCTCGGATCGAGTGACGCCGGACAGCCGAGGAGCGGACACTGATGCTCAATATATTATAGGTGGGTAGGGCAATAGAGAGAAAGAGCGAGCGAGCGAGCGAGCGAGAGATAGAGAGAGAGAGAGAGAGAGAGAGAGAGAGCGCGAGAGAGAGAGAAATAAGGAGCAAGAGGCGGAGATCGATATAGAGAGAGAAGCACAGGGAGAGAGAGAGAGAGAGAGAGAGAGAGAAATGTCCTAAAAAAAAAGAACTGAAAAAAATCGACATTCGTATCCAGAATTCATTGAGAAACCGGGCAGGCATGAGAAACCAGGTCTCCCGTGATTTATTCAGAATTGGAAACGGAAATCAAGGTATCCGACCTGGATCCAGTTCCCGCTTCTTGTTGAGAGTGAGAGAGAGAGCGAGAGAGAGAGAGAGAGAGAGAGAGAGAGAGAAAGAGTGAGAGAGTGAGCGTGAAGAAAGAGATATTTCAATTTCTACCATCATCTGCCCAGATCCAATCCTTTAATCAACCCTCAATTCAGAAGCCCGCGCCCCTAGCTCGGCCGTCACTCCGACAGACGCGTCCGCAGAATTCTCGCGTAGTCTCACGCCTACGCTTGACGCTGTCACGCAGACGAATATGGTAGGTATTTTAAACTTTGTATTGACAAAGATTATGCGCGCTTTTACAGTAGTTAGCTCGCCTATTTCGCACCTTTCCGTAACAACATAGTTCCCGATTTTTAGATGGCACCACCGGTCCCAATCCTGGTGATGCAGCCGTCGTCTAATTCTCTCTTCGAAACCTCACAGCTTCCCGACCACAACCCAGGTACGGTAGCTTTCAGAAATAGGCACGTTTTAACCTTAAAAAATTCCCTCAAAGTCGATCGCACCACTCAAAGGTTTCGTTCCAAATTCCGTTTAACTCACCGCAAAATCATGTTTGCTCATTCACCAACCCCTCAGTTTATGCAAATTCTTGCGTTTTTCAAATAATTTTTGCAGTCGGTTTGCCCTCCCTTTTGTTGCTTGCTGCTTGTCCTAAAAATGCATAAAATATAAGTAGTACACTTGCGTCGGAAATTTCCAAAAATAGTTTATTCAAAAAATGAAATTTCGCGTTGTCAGTACTAAATTAACAATTTTCAAAAATAATAAATTAGGCCGTATTCAAAACAGCTTAATCTCCTCCAGCCCCCTGCTACCTTCTCCCCCCTTGCAAATTCCATAGTAGCGCATGCGTGGTGGCTGGGAATGCACACAAAAAACTGCTACCTTAGTCACAAAGCTTGTCCTAGGCGTCATTGTCATAAATCACAGCAAACTATGAAAAATGTACGTTCAAATCTAGCCAAAGGTGGCTTAAAAAGGCTTCTATCCTTAGCAACTCTTGAAGCGCCACGAAAACAGGACCGCTTACAATTGCGCAAATTTATCTTTTTCTAGGTTGCAAAGCGCTTGGAATTTACACAAATTTTGTAACTCAAATTTGTTGTCGAGAATCACGATTTACGTTTGGCTTTCTTTAAATAATATAATTTTAAGCACTAAAATTCACTAAAAAAAAACCCTTGAAAATAAGTACCGTATCCGCAAAAATTACGTATTTGCGTCATCGTAATTAGTACGGCACTGTAGCTGCGCAAAAAAGTACCTAAATAGGTGCATAAGTTTAGGCAAATTAAACGGTCATTGAAGGCATTGCTATGGATTTATTGCCAATGAATTCCCACGGTTCTTGCCGCGCCGAGACAAGGAACGCGCAATGGACGCACAGCCCAGCCCATAGCCCCATGCGCGACATAAATGCTGTTTGCGTTGCGTGTCGCGGAGTCAAAAAAACCGATAAGGAGTCCTTAGCCAAAAAATCCATATCTTTGCCTTGCTAGTCCCGTTAATCGACCACAATCTGCCGTAGCAAATACCGTAGCCTTACCTTAGCCATCAAAAAGCGTGGGCCGGGTATTGATTGTATTGCGCAAAGTACCAAAAAGTGTGATGAGAGCCGTGTTTTGACCGGGGTCTTCAGCATCTGCCTCGTCGTCTACAGGATTCGGATGTCTTCTCGGGGCCGACGACCCATACGCACGACCTGCGTCGCGACGTGGAAGCCGCGCGGATGAGATCGACATCGGTACTGTGATTTCGACAACTTCAAAAAACAATGATATTATATACTGTAACTGTCTCTGCTGAGCGTCTTTGCGCGTCTTTCCGTTCCTTTCGTTGTCCTTCGTTACGGCCCGGGGGGGGTTTGTAGAAAAGTTTAAGCTATTTAAGCTTAGAAAGGTGCGAGACGAGAGAGAGAGAGAGAGAGAGAGAGAGAGAGTTGGGAGAGAGAGCAAGAGAGTTGAGAGAAAGAGAGCGAGAGAGAGTTGAGAGAAAGAGAGACAGTGAGAGCGAGAGAGAACGGGTAAGCTATTTATAGCTAGTGAGCATGAAACTCACAAGCGAGAGAGCGAGAGAGGGAGTGAGTGTTGAGAGAGAGAGAGTGTGTGCGAGAGTGAGAGGGAGAGAACGAGAAAGATGCCTTAAATTCCTAATAACCATTTTGATTCGAAATTGGCCGTTCCCTTGTCGATGACGTGTCTGCCGTGGCCTCTGTGTCCATGTTGCTTGAATTAGCAGAATCAGGAATCTGGCTTACCTAGCTTCTCCTATAAAGATCAGCCGATAAGAGCCTTCCCTGCACTGTCCCTCGTTTTTCCCTCCTTTCTTTTCCCTAACAATTCCCAAAAATCGTTTCGAATCAGAAATCGTCAAGTCTTGTAGTCTGTAGCCTAGGCGCTATCCGCTGGGCTCTAGACTACAGGGGGAACGTTTTTGAGAATGCGCATCTTTGAACTAATCGCGATTCAGATGAAATCCTGGACATGCGGGAACGAAGGGAGAGCATGGAGAAGCCGAGCGGCATCCCGTTGCCTAGCCATCTAGAAAAAGGTAGGGGGTAGAGAGATGAGGGAGAGAGGGGGAGAGAGAGCGCGCGCGAGAGAGAAACGGAAATGAAGAAAAAAATTATGATCAGTTTTTAGAAAACAAGCAGAATGAAGAGGAATGGTCTTCCAGTGAAGATGAAGCGGAAATCTACTACAAAATGAGCGAAGATGAGGAAGAGCTGGTGCGTTTTTGGAGGTTTTGGCGTTTAAAGGGAGTGAGACAGCAAGCCGCAGACTTTCTCAGTAAAGGCCAAAAAGTTCTGACTTTATCTACTGAATAAAAAGCATCTAACACAATGGCTCTTTAGAGATTTTCGGCACCATTTTGGTACGCTTTGGCATTTTTTTCTTTACCTTGTTGGTCCCTTTAAAAGACTTAATTAACTTATGTTTTTTTTCAGGGAGACGATTGGAAGCCTCTGGCTTCAAAACCCAAACTCCAAAACGGGATCCCGGTCCGGCCACAGCGAGAATCATCACGAGAGAAGAAGACGACGTTGAAGCAGAAGACGAGGAGTATTCCGGAGAGTAGTTCACAGGAAGAACATTCGGATGTATCTGGTGAGTGGAGAGAGAGAGCGATAGAGAGGGAAAGTGAGAGAGATAGAGAGAGAGCGAGAGAAAGGGAAGGAGCATGAGCTCAACCTCGTTTCCAGACTCTGAAGCATCAAGCGATGATGAAGCCGAGGTCGAGCCTGTCCAGACCAAACCCCCTCGGGATACGGTAACGGAAGTAGACGTGGAAGAAGCGCCAGAAGATGAGGGATATGCCTATGAACGATTACCAGAAGAAGATATCCATGCCACTGCCCCATGAAATTATCATTAAAGGGACGGGCAAGGCAGGACTATGGATTTTTTTCGCTGCGGATAGTCTATGGATTTTGTTAAACCCGCGAACCCCAACGCGACTCGTCGCCTGGCTTCCCTTAAGGTGCCGTAATCGACTACGCCACGGAAAGGTGTGCGCGTTGTGGGTCGCGGGACGGTTAAATCTATCGCGGTGGAATCTTGAGCGACTAAAATTCATAAGGTTGCCTTGCGCGTCCCGTTAAAGGGACGGTGACACTAGGAAATTTATGGCGCTACGAAGATCTTAGCACAAAACACGGTTGTTTGGAGGGGCATCGTGTAGTTAACAAATTTTGATATGCGCATGAAATCATTTTTTATTGCGCCCTCACGTTTATAGGAGCATCGCGTATTCGGGCTTTTTCAGCCTTAGAAAGCGGGCTAAATTTAAATTTTCAGGCGCTACGGTCTGGGATATAGGAGCGTCGTGTAGCCGAGCTTTTTTCGGCATTGAGAAACTGAAAAAACTCAAAATCTGAGGGGCTTACTGCCTAGTTTATAGAAGCGATACGTAGTCGAAGTTTATCTCACGCTAGAAAAATCATAAAATTCAAATTTTCGAAATATTACAGGCTGGTATAGAGAAGCGATACGTAATCAAGGCATTTTCGACGTTAGAAAAGACGCAAAATTCAAATTTTGGACGTTTTACTATGGCGTATGTAGGAGCGGCGTGTAGTTGCTTATTTATAAGTGGTAGAAAATAGAAAATGCCATTTTCGAAAGTGCCACTGTCCCTTTAACCCCTACCCCACACCCTTTCATTTCCCGATGATGACCCAAACAAACAAATTGGAACAATGTACACAGGACGATGCCGTAGCCGGTTATTTTCGAAATTTTTTCGCGTGAATGTATACCCCCGGTTTTTCTTGCAGAAAGTATCTATGATAATTGCAGACAGAGAATTCTATATATATTTTGAGTTCTATATTTTTATTTTGTTTTGTGTGTGCGCCTTCCCAACCGCTCCCACGGATAAATATATTTATTTGAGTTGTTTTGCCGCAAATTCAAAACAGTCATGACAAATTTACAAAAAAATACAAGTTTTTTGCATTAAAAACAGCAAATCACAGGCCTATCTTGCAAAAATTTGCCGAAATTGGGCCATATAGGGCCTTTTTCCCCCACTTAAAACCTTCATAATTTTTTTAACCTTATAATTTCGCGGATTTTGAAAACAGGACCTGAACCCTGAACAACTTAGCCCTGTGTTTTGCCCGATTTGGGTCTTTGTTTCGGTTTGTCCATTCATCGGCACTCCCAACGGAAGTTTATGTGGTTACTCGGGGGTCGAAATTGACTTCTGTGTTTGAAAATGAATCAGTGTTTTGGCTGGGCTTTCGCCTTAAAAGATACTGCCCGTTTGTGGGAGTATCACCGCCTGCAAACAACCATTTTCTCGTGTGTTTGCCATTCTAGCAAAAGGTTATTCCAGGATGCTGCAGTTACTTCCAACCCTGCTCGTCCTTATTGGGATCAGCCTTGGTAAGCTGATTAGAGCCCTAAAAATAATTCGGAATTTATGTGTCGTAGGGCTAAGATCGCGTAGATTTTGTGAATGCAACAAATCCATACAGTGTCCCAAAAAATCCCCCCCTAGCCCCCTAGTCGTGTCCGATTTTTACGATGAGGTATCTATCGAAAGCTCTCGGAAAGGCGAGTCCAGCACGTCTTGCCAATTTTCAAAATCTCGACATTTTTCTGTCGTTTACTAATGTTTTTGCAGGACGGGCGGATTTTCTGGTTTTTCTGACCTCCGCGTTTTTTACAAAAATCACAATTTAAAAATTTTAATGCCTTTTCGGGCAGCTCAATAACGGCTTTTTGCAAGCCCTTCGCAAGAACAGAGCTTGGATAGCGCTTAAACCGGTTAAATTGCGTTTTGGTTAAAAAAGCGTGTCCTTTTAGCATGAAAAATGCTGGAAAACGAGCAAAAAATTTCGAGATTTCGAAAATTGGCAAGACGTGCTGGACTCGCCTTTCCAAGAGCTTTCGATAGATACCTAAATCGTAAAAATCGGATAGGTCTGCGGCCGGCTAGGGGGGGATTTTTTGGGACACCCTGTAGTGCCTCGAAGGGGTCGATTTCTGCGCTTGATTGTCCCTTTAAAACGAAATCCCGGCTTGCGGCGTTACGCCAAAGCAGAAACTTGGATGCTCTTTCCAAGCGTCGTTGGGAGCTGCGCGTAGCTGTCTAGGCCTAGTGGGAGGGAGGGTAGATTCTCGGGTTTCTGGTCCTTTAAAGGACGGTTTAACTTTTAAACCGAAGCGTTGTTTTCGAGCGCATTTAGATAATTTTATCCCAGGCTCATCGCCATCATCTTCAACAAGGAATTCCACCATCGGGTGCTGGGCCAGAAGATAGGTACTGGAAGCTTGGATTTTCTAGCGCTTTCAAAAAATTTCAGCCTGAGCCTGGCAGCCATCACAACTTGCCATATCCAAACACTTTTAGAGACGTCAGGCCGCCACGCCGCGTACTCGACGCAAATGCCGGCTACGCTCAGCTCCTACTGTCAGCACTCGTCGCAGAATTTTTGAGCCGACAGTTTGGAATTGCCATATTTTTATTGCAACTGGAAATAAATTGTTTTCTATGGAAACAAGTGACAGATAACCGTAGTTTTGCCACCACCCCCTCTCTCCCGCGCGCTCTCTCCCTCTCTCTCCCCCTCTCTCTCTCTCTCGCTCTCTCTCTCTCACCACCATAGCTTACTCCCTTCTTTTGTGCTAACATGATCCCAAATTTGCATAAATCTTAAAATAGCAAATTTCCATATTTTATGCACCGAATACACTTCCGGTTTTCCGAGTACAAAAAGCGGCGATTTCTCCAAAAAAAACCATCACTTCGTCTTCGATGGAGCTCCAGATGTCTTCGCCAAACAAGTACTGCGTCCGCGTGCCGGTACGTTTGCAAATTTGCCTATTTCTCTCTCTCTCTCTCTCTCTCTCTCTCTCTCTGTCTCTCTCTCTCGCTCCCATACTCTCACGCTCTCTTTTCAAATCTGCTTTTTTCAGCGCAACGCCGCCCGTCACCCGGCCGTCTTCAGCGGGTTCGCCTCGCCGCGCCGCGCCACCCTTGCCGAGCAAGCCGGCCACGCTCGCCTTGATGAGCTGTATCCGGAAGGTATAATTTTTAGGGGTTTCCTAAATGCTCTCTGCTAGCCTGCCTTTGCAACAAAATTCGGGGCAATCTAGCAGAGATTCTTCTGGATATACAAAAATTCGTTTTTAGGCCTCCTCCTGCCCCGTGAGCCGGTCCACTCCCTGACCAGCATGAAGCTGGACCTGGACGACTCGGCGTCGACGGTCGCCTCCAACGAGAACCTCGCCCGCGCCGACAACACCAACAAGTTCAACGATCGCCGCAGGCTGCTTTGGGTTGGTCGTCTGCTTCTCTCTCTCTCTCTCTCTCTCTCTCTCTCTCTCTCTCTCTACCTCTCTCATGTTCATCTCCAGGCCGACGCCCTGGCGCACATGACCATGGGGCCGTTGATGGAGGAGACGCGCGCCTCAGAGCCGTCCCAGGTAGAGATGTGGTGGCACATCAGCCGGCGCGTCGTCGCCACCGAGACGGCCAACGAGTTCGACAAGTTCGCCGCCAAGGACGGGGAACCTGTCGTCCCGGTCATTCACATCACTGGCGACGTCATCGACAAGGTACACGCAGCTTTGAGCGATCTAAAGCAACATCATCCTCAGAAGCAAGAGCAGTCCGCGACGTCATCGGCAGGGCCGACCGACCGTACCCCCTCCTCGCCCTCCTTGGCCTCGTCGGCCTGCCCGACCGCCCGCCAGCTATCGGCCGTGTCGATCGGCGACTGCCGGACCGCGAGGCAGATACCGGATGAACTGCTCGAACAGCTCGACTTCGTCAGCAACGGCGTCATCAAGGAGGTCAGCAGCCCCGGGCTTTTCAAGGAGTACACCTCTTCTTAGGTGGCCTCCCCGGCCGCTTCCACTTGTCGTGCGACGAACGACAAGGCCAGCGTCACCCAGGCGGGCGACATCACCCAGGAAGGATCCGACGAACAGCTCGACGTCACCGCCAAGTCGCAGAACGACATCAGCGAGGTCAGCGGTCGAAAGACTGCAAAGAGTCCACCTTTTTCAGGGTCCAACCGCCTACATCGCCGATGTGCTGGCCGGCTGCGCGGCCTTGTCGACGTCGTCGTTCAGCACCGGCTTGAGCGGCTACGACAACCACCCGGCTGACCTCTCGCGCACCGCCCTCTCCTACACCGACACCGAGGTCGAGCATTCCGGGGTAGGAACATTTCAATTCTTTGCCTTGTCTGTCCCCATAAACTGCACGAGAAGCCACGAAAGCCCGGTTCAACCGCATCTTCCAGATGCTGGAGCAGCCCGCGAAGACACGCGTTCCGATCGGCGGGGAGCACGACATCAGCAGTAAGGAATCTGAGGCCCGGCTCGACGTCACGCTCGCCGACGAAGGCAGCAAGGTCATCGGCCTCTAATTGCGATGACATACCCTTATTTTTAGATGGATCTGGATAGGAGCGCCCGGACTGGTCGCCTCTTCAGCAAGGCGTCCATCAACACCAGCCACTCCGACGTCAGCACCCGGGAATCTCAGGGGCAGCTCGACGTCACCGCCGCCGATTTTGGCAACAAGGTCGGGGGATTATGCCCTCAAAAATGGCCGATTTTCAGTCGATGTCCATGTCCGAGCCGACCGTCACGGCCGAGGAGCTGTTCGGGCCCGTCACGCCCAGCGAGTTCGATGTGTTGCGCACTGGGGTAAGAAATTCTTTCTCTCTCCCTCTGTCACTCTCTATCTCTCTCTCTCTCTCTCTCTCTGCCACTCTCTCGCTCCCTCTGTCACCCTCTATCGCTTTTCTAGAAAAAAAGCACACTTTTTAGCCGATCAGCAGCACCCCGAAGGGCGCCGAGCCGGAAGAGCAGCAGCAGGAGGAAGAGCAGCAGCAGGAGGAAGAGCAGCAGCAGGAGGAAGAGCAGCAACAGCAGCAGCAGGAGCTCGATTTCGAGGAGGCCGACATCGGCACGTTCGGCTCGCTGGCCCAGCCCGTAGATATTTGCCTTGAATGCGCCTTTAAAAGGGTCTCTAGATTGACTCGCTGGTGCTGATCAAGCAGCGCCGAATGTCGAAGAACGACATGCTCGAGCCGGTCGTGGAAGAGGGCACCCTGGCCAAGTCGGCGGTGTCCTTCTCGGTGTCGTCGGAGAAGCCGGTGCCGCAGATGAAGTGGGAGGAGGAGGACGACGTCGTCAGCAAGTCGTACGACAGCGAGGAGGAAGAGGAAGAGGAGAATGAAGAGGATGACAGCATTCATGGTGGCTTTCTCAAGAAATCTCTGCTAGTTTGGTTCGCTCTCTCTGTCTCTCGCTCTCTCGCTCTCTCTCTGTCTCTCTCTCTGTCTCTCGCTCTCGCTCTCTCTCTCTCGCTCTCTCTCGCTCTCTCTCTCGCTCTCTCTCTCTCAGTAATCTCAAATATTCAGGCTCCGACTACGACACGGCTTCCGAAGATCCGGAAGGCATTCTGCTCGCCCCCTTGTCCTCCACCCCGAAATCCACCGGCCAGGAGAAGCACCCCGAGTTCGAGACGTTCGACACCAGCGAGCTGCAGAAGAACAACAACGACACGACGCTGTTCAACGACGCATTCATCCAGCCGAAAGTTGATGCCAAGGAGGAGCCTCAGAAGCAGAGCAAGGACAACACCGACGAGTCGCTTCTCAACAAAGCCTTCATCCAGCCGAAAGCCGACGTCAAGGAGCAGCTGCCGCAGGAGCTGCCCGCCCTCGACGTGAGCGCCATCCAGCACAACTACAACAACAAGACCTTCACCGGGAACACCGCCAGCAACGAGTCGCTGCTCAACGTCGCCTTCATGCAGGAGAACTCCGAGGAGGACACCAACATTGACACCGGCAAGATGGGTGGGTAGTTGAACGTGGCTTCTGGACTTGTCGGCGCTTTAAATGTCGGTTCTCTGTCTGTCTCAGCTGAGCTGCTTGAACTTCCCCTGCCTCTTTTAGGCGAGTTCCGCGCTGTGGCCGACGTAGTTTGCACGCCGCCCCGAGACTCCGACACTGAGCTCCCGCTCTACACCGAGCCGCCGCTTTCCCCCAGCTGGTTCCGCGACGCCATCCTCCACCGCGGTGACGTCACCAACTGTACGTGTTGAAGCTGATGGCGGTTAAAACTTAGTTTGCCATTTTCCTTGTACTTGTTGAACTTGATGTGTTTCAGCTGGCGCTGACGAGCAGGAGTCGCTGACGACCCTGTTCCAGGGCATCAAGCTGAACACGTCGGGCACGACGCCCGCCCCGCCTCCGACTCCGACGCGGGTTCGTGTCCCCGATTGGGAACGGCTGAAGGACTCGCCGCTGCTCAGCCGCGTGCGCGCCCGCTCCTCCTTCAACTTCCCGCCGCCCCAGCTCGAGCCGTCGCGCGACTCCATGGAGTGGTACGGACTTTTTGGGTTCTTGTGTATTACCGAGGGGGGGACAATATCTTTTGGACAATTTTTTCCAGGGACGCCGCCCCGCTGCCCAGTGACGTGCCGGTGACGAAGGTCGACGTGGTCAGCCCTGCCGTCAGCCCGGCCGTCGCCGAGCTAGCCGCCGACATCGACTTCGAGAAGGTCAACACTCCGAATGTGACGCTGCGCCATCGTCGCCACTCCGACTGCTAGCCGGTCGACGACCAGAAGACGTCCAAACGATTAAGCACCCCCCACCACATCGGCTTGTTAAAAACCCGAACAAATCCCGCGGCTCCTTTTGTTTTATGAAAATCAAACCTATTTGGTGTGTAATAAATGGTTTTGTGCATTTGATTGGTATTGGCGGCATGGATCCTACTATATATAAAAAAATAGTGTCTGTGTGTGTGTTTGTGTGTGTGTGCCACTTTGCATCCACTTCCGTCTGTCTGTCCGGAGGATATCTCAAGAAGGGACGGGTATTAGGCTACGTATGACACGTCATTAGGTGCGTAATGGTCTAGGGATGACTGCACACATATCAGATTTTTAAAAATTAGCCATTTTCGCTATTAAATTTAGGTTTTTGTAAAAACCTCTTTGTTAGGAATAATTAGCATAGACCGGAAGTGGGTGGTCGTCTATATAAAGAGGCAGAAGGGGTTGTTTTTCATTATTTTTGTCTTCTGAATGAAGGACAAGTATGCAAAGGGCGGATAGTATGGGGTCCGAGACGGGGCCAGGGTTGAAAAGTCGCGAAGCGGCTTTTCAACCCTGGTACGGTATTAAAAAGCGCAAAAATACAAGCTACAAATACAGACCACAAACTACAGAGGTATAAAGGTGCTTCCGAGCTAGTTTTGGAGATATCATCGGCAGAAGGATTTTGGATCTGGCGGGATCTGGCAAGCTAGCAGGGATTCCTTATCTTATCATTTCGCAGATTTTGAAAACAGGCTCGGATCAGCGCATACCCTGAACAACTTAGCCCTGTGTTTTGCCCGATTTGGGTCTTTGTTTCGGTTTGTCCATTCATCGGCACTCCCAACGCAAGTTTATGTGGTTACTAGGGGGTCTAAATTGACTTCTCTGTTTGAAAATGAATCAGTGTTTTGGCTGGGCTTTCGCCTTAAAAGATACTGCCCGTTTGTGGGAGTATCACCGCCTGCAAACCACCATTTTCTCGTGTGTTTGCCAATCTAGCAAAAGGTTATTCCGGGATGCTGCAGTTATTTCCACCCCTGCTCGTCCTTATTGGGATCAGCCTTGGTAAGCTGATTAGAGCCCTAAAAATAATTTGAAATTTATGAGTCGCAGTAGTTTTTCACATAGTTTTCGTGGATGCAACAAATCCATACAGTGTCCCAAAAAATCCCCCCCTAGCCCCCTAGTCGTGTCCGATTTTTAGGATGAGGTATCTATCGAAAGCTCTCGGAAAGGCGAGTCCAGCACGTCTTGCCGTTTTCAAAATTTTGAAATTTTTCTATCATTTACTAATGTTTTTTTTTGCAAAACTGGCTGTCGCGATTTTTTACGCCTTTTGCTGGCTGCCCAGGACAGTTTTTTGAAGGCAGGTTGCGAAAACACAGCGTATCAACCGGTTAAATTCGACAAAAAAAGCGAGTTTTGGACAAAAATTGGATGAAAAATGCCGAAAATCGAGCAGAAAATTCCGAAATTTCGAAAATCGGCAAGACGTGCTGGACTGGCCTTTCCGAGAGCTTTCGATACCTAAATCGTAAAAATCGGACACGGCTGTGGCCGGCTAGGAGGGGGGTTTGGGACACCCTGTCCCAAACCTCTGATGATGATGCGACCTCTGCAATTTAGCAGCGCCACCGGCACCGCCGCCCGGAACACTCGAGGAAACTGAAATGCCTTTTCAGGTAGGTTCCTATATTCTGAATCATGACTCTAATCACTCACACTGCTTATTCACCTCTAAATTTTAGGCCAACAACGTGTTCATTTACGCCGAACGAATCTGCATGTAGCGTTTTTACCAAAGCCAAACGATTATTTTTAGGATCAACAATGGCACAACTACATGGGGACGGGCACTTGAGGTTTTCCAGAGAGAGATGTGTGAGGGCCGTGCCCTCAAGCCGCATTGTAATTTATTCAAACGCCATCATCAGTAACTTTTACTACAGATGCCAATATCAAAACCTGCTTTGCGGGCGGACGTCCTGATAATCAACTGGAGAAGGCTTTGCCAAAAATTAAATGCAGGTAAAATAGTGGATCGGGGAGCATCAGAACTCACAAGGAAACCCAGCGGCCCGAAGTTGGAACTTAGTTAGTGAGATAGTTCATCTCGTGCAGTTTTTTATGCTGATTCCGTATTTTCAGCTCATTTTTGCCAGGGCCTTTTGGTTTTCGAGTTAAGCTCCTTGAACCGTTGCAAACAACGAGTTTTGGGCCAACAATTTTCTTTAGAATTTTCTTAACAAATCAAAAATAACGATTTATTGTCGGAAATAAAACTTGATTTTGATTGCATCGGATTCCCCAAAACTCGATAGTCATTTAAATATTTCAAGGAAGTTACAGAAAACAGTTTATATCTCGAAAACTAAAAAGCCTTGGCCAGGATGAGCTGAATATTCGGAACCAATTGGATAAAAAAGCAGGAGATAGCGGCTTTTAATTAAAGATTTTAGCATTGCACCCTTACTCTACAGCATGTATTTTGACCGGGTCGTTCGTGATTGCCCTGACGAGAGCGAGGCGCAGCACATCACTGTCCGCGCCATGATTAATGAGGTGAGCACTAAAATATCGGTCTAAAGGAAGGAAATACCCTTTAATCTCAAAGTATCATGGCCGTTCCAGGCGACATTCTATGCGAACTGGCCTCAAAAAGGTCCGGTCGATCCACGCTGCTACAAGAATCTTGCGGAGGAGCTGCACGCGATGTACTTTGCGCTTAACCGGAATACGAAGCCGATCCCCGAAGCGTACACAGTGGCCTCAAACGACTCGATGCATTGAGAATTTTTTTGCGTGATAAATGTTTGAACACCAGTTTAGTTTAACTTTAATGATTTTTAATTACAGTTTAATTTTCGCAAAAATTGATCATTTTTGAGGGTTTGATAAAGGTTGTCTGATAAATTTAGGAGATCTCCGCTTTATGTGGTCTGGTCAACGGCATCTAAATATCGTAGATTAGCCCCAGATACAGTACGAAAATACAGTATCATTTTCCGGAAGAAAAAAGCTTTTCTTATCGTACGACATGATCCTTTGCCCGAATACCGTAACACCTTGGAACGTACAGTACGCAACTGTACACGCGGGTCCGTCAATGTAGCGAATCGGAAATCCATGAAAGGTGTTCTAGTTTTTTGGTTCTTCTTGGAAATTTTCTTTTCAACCCTTTGTACAAACATTTCTTTTGAGTTGGCGTATTTCTAACCCTGCTTCAAATTCCGGCGGTCGTCTTTTGAATCGCTCGCCCGCCTCTGGCTCTCTTCCCGCCGCTGCACTGCCGCGACGCCCGGGCACGTAGCGCGGCCCATTTTTGTGGCATAAAGCACCTTAGCGACGCGCCCGCGCGCTGCGCTTGATTCGTTGCAAAATCCCGCTTTGGCTTCTCCGAAATTCAGACAATACTAATACGCGAAGCTCGGCCCTTTGGGAAGCACATACTGTGCCAGTATAGCATTGTAAAGAGCACCTTTCGCTGATTTTCGGAATTCGGTTAGACCAGCTTGTTATGCTCCGATTCATAACTTTGCTTTTCTGTTATTCTGTTCGTTATAATCTCCTTAATGCGTACGCGGTTATACAAAATACGTTCAAAAGTGCGTGCCTGATTTGCAACCCCATAGCGCGATCGATATCGGTTTGATAGCAAGAACGTTCTGTCTCATTTGTGCCTTTTTGACACGTTGGGCTGGTGTTTTTTATCCTGATTCTACGAAAATTCTGCCACATATTTCATAAAAATATGCCTGATCGTTTCCAGCTCTTCCTTTTAGCGTTTTGTTTTCATTCTGATACTTCCGTTTTTTGGCTCAACACTATCAACTTTTTTGCAGCATTTTGGTGATGGAAGGTGCCGAAGTCTCCATCAAAACCGAGCCGCAAGATGAGGGTTTTTCCGGCGTTGAGGTCAAAGGTAAGGCTATTTACAATTTCCTAAAACAAGAAAAACAGCTTTTTGGAAAAGTCTTCTATCTTATTTTATCGTTTTTAATTAATATATGAAAACCGTGTTTCTAATACTTTCTTTCCAGTCGAAGCCGACATTGATATCAAGGAAGAAGTCGCCAGCGCGTCCAGCGCCCCACAGTCAACCTCAGCTCACCCAACCATCGTCGACATAAAGCCCGTCTCCATCCCGATGCCCCTACTTCAACAGTCTGGCGAGGTGAGCGGAAATTTTCACTTTTTAATATTTTTCTATATCTAATTAGGTTTAATTAAATTAATGGTTAATTTTAGGTATTCGTCGGCGTGGGCGGGGAGAAAGAAGCCGCCCTGGTTGGCTTGGGTCTAAAGAAGCTGCGTTCCAGGGACAAGGATCGACTCTACGAGGCCAAGCGATACGCCATGGACATTTCGATTCGACAGATTATGCTCCAGCAACAGCAGGCCCATCAGCAGAATGTAATTTTTTGTCTTTTGGCTTTATTCATACTTTTTTTCAGCAACAAAAGCAGCACATGTACGCACAAGCGTTGGCGCTGATGGCCCGAGTGTATGTTGGCTCGATTTCTTTTGAGGTGGGTTTTTGAAAAACTGGATAGAAATTCCTCTTTTTAGGTAACCGAAGACAAGCTGCGCCAAATCATGAGCCCGTTCGGGCCGATCAAGACGCTGAACATGAGCTGGGATACGAGTACAGGGGTAAGGGAACGATTTCGCTTTGTTCCTTTCGCATTATCGGATGGCCGAGCTTTTTTTTCCAAATACACCTAATAACGTAAACCGGAGTATCTTGGTGTATTTAGTAAAATTTGGCGCAAAACTATCTAGAAAGCTTAGAAAAGGTGTTTTAAACATTGAAATTTTGGTCGACATCTTGTTTTTTTGGTTGTTGCTAATAAAAAGCTATAGTTATTGCGTGGCAATTGTAAAAAGGTTCTAAAACGCTTGCTTTTTTATTTTAGAATTTTCCCGGATAACCCCAAAGCTCCAACGATTTTCTGTTTTAGACTAAACTCTTTTTTTCAGCACCACAAGGGCTACGCGTTCCTCGAGTTCGACGTGCCCGAGGCCGCCCAGCTGGCCCAGGATTCGATGAACGGCGTGCTGATGGGCGGGCGGAATCTTAAGGTGCTGCACCCCCGACTTCTGCAAGAAAGCCAAGCGGCAGCGGCGGTACGTGCCTGCACCGGCTTTTTAGTGTTGGGCTCGACCCGTCCACAGTCCAGTTTCTCTAAGTAGTATCGTGGTTTTTGATGTCAAAATCGTGCCGGAACCATCATTTGTGTCGGTTTCGGCTCTCCAGAAATCGAAAACGACTTTTTTAATCACGCAGGCGTAAAAACATCTAGAAAAGCTCGTGTTTTGATTTCAATCTTTTTTTTCATGTTTTTCAGAAGAAACTGGCGTCCGTTTCGAAGCTGCCGGAAATTCTGAATTACTCACCTTTCGGGTCTCTTTTTTTTCCTGAAGCAGTGTGCAGGCACTACCTGCCAATTTCTAATTATATTAAGCCAAAAAAAACTGCTCATTTTCGCCACTTTAACCGAAACCTCTAGCTTCCCCCAATTTTTATGCCCTCGAAAACCAATTTAGTTTCGCGGTTCCCGAACAACTTTGGTATTTTACAGCTCGGGCGTTCGTCGGCGGCCACCCCGCAAGCCCAGCCCATCATCGACATGATCCAGTCGGAGGCCAGGAAATATTTTAGGCAAGCAGGAAGCGATGATTTTAGAATTTTCTGTTTTTAGAGTATACGTCGCATCGATTCATCCTGATCTCTCTGAAGCTGATGTGAAAAGCGTGTTCGAGGCGTTCGGCGAGATTGTCAGTTGCCGATTGGCCCGCAACAATTTCAAGGGTGGCCACAGGTGTGTTTCGTTCTAAATTTGAGTTTTTGGAATTACCAGGGTGATCGTATTTTCCCACCACGATATATGTGCCCATAGTGTAATAAAATTGTTTTAATAGCGTTTTTAGTCAATTTTGGCCATTTGAATCGATTCAAAGATGTCAAATTTGAGATTTTGTAAGAATCCTATCCTTTTATTGAAAGAACGCTATTTTTGCTATTTTTCTGGATACAAATTTGCGATGTTTTAGGGCTAGGAATATTGATAAACAACAGAAAAACAGTCCACTAGAACCATCGCTTTCCATCCTGCGAATTCAATACTAAAGAAAAATACACTAAAGAACCGGTCATTTCTTTAGTTTCTTTTTCGTGATAGGTATGAATTTCGATTTTCCAGAGGCTTCGGCTACATCGAGTTCAACAACTACGCGTCGATGAACGAGGCGATCGCCGGCATGAACATGTTCGACTTGGGCGGGCAGCTTTTGAGGGTTTGTTGGGAATTTACTTTCTTTTAAGATACAATTTTTAGGTGGGCCGATGCGTGACGCCACCAGAAGCGCTCAGCTACATCGTTCCCGCGTCGTCGGTTAGCTAACATCCGCTTTTTTGGAATAAATTTTTCAATTTCAGTCCGCAATGCCACAATCCGCAGCCCTAGCCCTCGCCGCCGTCACCGCAAAGGTGCAAGCGATGGCCGCAACGCAGGTGTGATTTCGTGACACTTACAAAAATGGAAATGCCCTCCGGCGACTCTGCTGGGAGAGCGCAGCCCCGGGTCCACAAGCCACACTCTACGGTCCGTAGCGCCTGTCTTTCAGATCGTCGCCGGTCTGGGCTCTACCTGTTGTGCACTGCCTCGTCGGACGGGGTACCCGCAAAGGACCCCTAGAATTCCTTTGTCAGCTTTTTAGGCTCTTTTGCAAAATCGGGGGACGGGCAAGGGGAACGAGCTTTTTCATTGGGACGCAAACTTTGGAAAATCCCTTAAGAGCAAAAATTTACATTTTCTGGCCAAGAAAGTGGTGATTTCCGTCAAAATGTCGAATTTTTCAGGCCTCGAAATAGCTTTTCGACGTGCAAAACGGCTAGTTTTGGTCAGAACTAACGTAAAATACAATAATTTTGATTTTTTTGGACCAAATTTCAGGTGTTTAATCCCAAACGTTTGAAACTTTTATCTGAAACAAAAATATAGATTTTTCGAGCGAAATCTCGGACTTTCGAGACATTTTCTAAGTTTTCTGATTGTTTTTTTCTTCACTTTTTTACAGCTAAATTTGTTCAAAAAAGCTCCAATTCTTTGATATGGCATTTCTAGGTGTGTCTGGACTTTAGGAATCAATTCGGCTCCCTCACCCCCGATTTTGCAAAAGCACTGCTTTTTAAAATAACCGGCCCAAACTAAAATTGCCTGGTGGTACACATTCCAACTTTTTAGGAAGTGCTCACAGCCAGCGTAGCGTACCGCCAACGTTACGGTCTCGTGTTTCTTTTTGCGGACATAGGTTACACGGTGCAAAATCCAAAAAAAAATAAAATAAAAACCCATCTAACTGTCACCTTTTCAGACGTTGAAGGCGATCACTGGCGCTCCTGCATCGCCGCCGCCGAAGGTCGCCACACCGAAGAGAGCTCGCTCGCCATCGCCGCCAAAGCCCGCGAAGAAGCCCGCCGAACCGCTGGCAATTACCTCGACTGCGGACGCGGCTAGCCCGGATAATAGGCGCTCGAAATTTTGTGCGTTTGTTTTGATTATTTTGACTTATATATCGATCATTCTTTCAAAGAACATTTTTCTGAAGATAGCTTTTTTAACAGAACTTCGAAACGCCCAATTTTCGAAAGTCAGAATATCGAAAAATTAAATTACTGTTCGCAATCTTTTTCGAAAGTATGGATTGGAAATCTACTGAATTTATCGGTGTTCTTTTTAGCGGAACTACCTGCCCAAGTCGTCACCCCTCCACCACCTCCACCACCGCTCGGCGGCGACGACGCCATGGAGGTCGATGATCAGACGGAGCAGACTTCGGCCGCGATACCTCCACCCGGTCTCGTTCAGGTAATTTACAACGTATTTGAAATTGTATTGGTTGATTCCAATTCACGTTTTTCAAAATAGCTTTTAAAAATATTGAAAACATTGTGGGATTTAACTCATATTTCAGCGTTCCTAATTCAAGTTTAAATTTTTCGTTCAGGTCCCGCAGCCAACCATTGTCAAGCCGAAGCTCTCCGAAGGCGCCGGCGCCCCGCAGAAGAAGAACCAGAACAAGAAGAAGGGCGGCATGCTGGATCGTATCAAAACATATGTAAGGACTTTTGAAAATTTCGAATACAATTGTTATAGCAATTTGACCCGACCGCCAAGGCGACGTTCGGAGCACCGATAGGAGAGAACGGCGACGAAGAGGAGGAGGAAGGAGAAGATGGTAATTTAGCTTTTACGAGATAGTAACTGTTTTTCAGAAACGTTGATGATCACTGCCTCTGGCGAGCGGAAGCGTGACGTCCAATCGTTGGCGCTCAGCCTCATCGACAAGGGCAACCAACAAGTGGCCGTGAGGGGAGGAGGATCATCCGGTGGAGGAAGGGATAGTCGAGACAAGGTGCGGTTTAGTTTAAATTTAAGCTACTATCATTGAGTTCAATAAAATTTTATTTTTATTTTGTTTACTACAACTATTCTATTGAATCTTTTGGTGTTGGACAGCGTGAAAATCCAAACAGAACGCCGCATTTAATTAAACTATATTAATTTAAAGTAGTATAAATATAAATATTAGTTTCCTCATTTCAGAAGAAGTCCAAAAATAAGGAGCCGGAACCGGCCTGGAAAGTTGCTGCGAAGGAGAAGCGCAAGGCTAGGAGAGACGCAGCGCAAAGTGGCCCGAAGGTAAATTTTCGCATGAGTTGTAATTGAATCATTTCTTTTTTAGTTGAACACAGAAGCGGCGATGGCTGCCGTCGAGAAGGCCGGATTGATGAACGATGCCATCATCGAGAAGGAGGTCTGCTCAGAAGAGGCGACGCTAGCTTCGCAAGAGGGATTGGAGATTCGGTATCTTATTATTTTTTGCTCGATTGTAACGTTTAGTTTTTATTTTTCTTTATGGCGAAGAATTTAGGGACTGCCATTTTACAATACATTGAGGATGCCCATTTTTCAGAGGCAACGAGTCTCGCCATCTGCTGATGACCAAGCTGATGCGCATCAACCGCTCGTGCATTCTGCTGCTGAAAAACATGGTCGGCCCCGAGGATCTTGACGAGCACCTAGAGGAGGAGGTGAAGGACGAATGCTCGAAGTATGGACGTGTTGAGGAGGTAGAGCTGGTCTTTTTTCTTGATTTACATTTCCTTAGGTTCTGATCGTCAACGACGAGGCGAACGGCGTCGTCAAGATTTTTGTCCGCTACGCCGAGCCGAAACAGGCGAGTTTTCGCACCTTTGTATTGGTTTTATTAGGAAGGTGCTTTCGCAAAGGAAGGTAAATTGTCTAATGTCAATTTTTCAGGTGGACGACGCCAAGGCGCAGCTCGACAATCGATTCTTTGCCGGGCGGACGATCAGCGCGGTCATCTACGACCAGGCCCTCTACGAGTTTGGCGACTACTCGGGTTGAACAGTTTTTTGCAGGATTAAAAATACCTCTTTTTATAACTACCGTTTTTCCCCGTTTTGTTCGCTCCTTCGACTTTCCAAAAACGCGATCCCATAAAGTTCCATCATTACTAGTCTTCGCAGCTGTTTTGTTGTTGGCTTGTTTATCTCCTCGCACCTTCCCTTGCTTTATATATACTTTTATATATAACTTTCTCCTTGCCGCGCGAGATACACAAAAAGAGCCTCGTTTCTTCTTCTTGGTCGTTGTTTCTGTTTCCGCTAACCCGTGTTTATCCCGTTTCCTTGTCCCAGCCCCCTTACCCGGGTGTTATTCAAAAATTAAATTTATGGTGACTGTGGACAGGTTATAAGATTATTACCTAGAATAAATGTTTGCGTATCGAGATTCTTTACGCGGATGGACATCATTACACGTCGTACGGACGGAAAATTCAAACGAGCTTTTTGGGTTCTGGAAGCAAGATCTGATCTTTAACCGAATGTGATAAGCTTTGAAAGATTGCGGTACAGAATAGTATGTAGCTATCTTTGGTGGATTCTAGGATAAAATCTGGCCTTGCAGCTCCGGTTGATTTCAAAAGAAACTCCCACGTTGCCTTTCCACGTTTCACCGCTTGGTTTTGAAGCATAGAATCGGAATCCGCGGGTTCTGGAAGCCAATTGTTCGGGCTCAAAAATGTAAATGCCTTTCCCAGGCATTCTCGAGCATATAAGGAGCGTAATAGAATGTAGTTCTGCTACAAATTACGATGAATTATTGGCTGGTGGTCCTCCCGGTTTTATTTCTGGGTTTAGATGCAGCGAACGGTAAGTGGTAATTGCTAAGAAGTACTAAAGTGCGGTTTTTAATTATTAAATTAGATGAGAAAACGTGACGAGCCCCCCAACAAAAAAATGTTAGAGACGCCGAGCATGAAATCTTCTAGGATCTGATCGCCTTTGCTTGGACCAATCCCTGTTGACGTTCAACACCGTGCAGATTATGGGGACTTTCCCGGAAAACGGAATGTAAGTCTGTTGTCATATAATATAACAGTAAATTCTAGAGGGAACTGCGGTATCCGCAGCAAGCCAAATGCCACACTGTTCAATATTGCCTTTGGGAATGGCACCTATAAGATTCAATCTGGGGTAATTGGTGAATTTCGGGTGATGGACTGTTTCTAGATTGGCGACCAACAACGATCAAAGACATTCGAATACGTCTCACCTGGCAAAAACTTTGAGTTGGGCGTCAGGTAATACATGTTTACGACTGACATACATCAGTTAAGAGTGCTTGACGGCCATATGATGCAAATTATGGTCGTTGTTGATGGTCTACAGCAGTATTCGTTCCTGGAAATTTCGGATGATCCGGAAATTGGCATAGGGCGGAGCCGTGTTATTGATGTATCGGATTATTGATGCCTGTTTTTTTCGCAGCAAAATTGTTAGGTAAAAGCTATTTTGGGTGTTTTTAGTGCTCGCAAATGGCCTCCTGGGACGTGATAAACCGGGATGTGTCGTCTCCGTCTGGTCCAGCGGGATTTCCCTGTTCGGTGCGTTTCTCTTCACAGGATTGTATGTCGGGATTCATTTTCAGGGCGAAGTTCCACTCAGCACAACACCGACGGAAGGTTGGGGATACTATGATGGTACATAGCGCTAACTTGTAACTAGATCACACCCTCGCTTATAGTCGTTTGTGTTTCCCCGTTGGTGGCCGGCCAGAGCATTAGTATGGAAAGCTATTTCACTGACGAAGACTGGAGCCTTCTAACGTCAGGGAACGTCGACAGGTTCAAGTACGTTCGTATTTTATGGGATCGGCTGCAATCTCTTAAAGGGATCGTGGACAACAAGGCCGCTGTATTTGCGCGGCCGGGGATTGAACTCGCAGCATGGATGCCCTTTTCGCTAATAACATGGCCTGGCGCCCTCTGCGTCACGCAAGCTCTCATTAGTGCGCCGTTTTGCCGAGAAAGCAAACACGCCCATTCAAACCCATAGATTTTCGGCAATTTGAGAGGATGGCCACGGGACGCTACTAGTTACTTACTGACAGTGACCGCAAGCAACATTCGGTTCGAATGTTTTACTTGGGTAATCGGACAGGCAAATGTAAAAGATAAGTGAAATACAATAGAATTTGGCGATAGAATCGCTACCAGGCGTTTCCTTTTACTTTAGTTTACAGTTTGTGACAAAAGGATATGTGGCTCGACTTTTTTCGTAATTCTCAGAGATTTGGCATGTAGGCATCCTGACCGGTAGCTCGTTTTGTAGCCCGAAAAAAGGCGAATTTTTTGGTATACTGGACAAGCCTTAACAGTGAAGTAGCAGATTCTTATAAGCATTTTAGGTTTTCACTAGGCTATCTCATTCCCAGGGCCGTTCGCTACACACCAATACAAACGACCCATCAAAAGCCCGACACATCACAGAAAATTCAAACGAAATAAAAACCGCCTTCGTTTTGATACTTTTTGAACACAGTTTTTTTAGTTCTTAGTATCATTAGACTCGCCGTCTCCCATTCTAAAAGGCTGGAACAAGCTTTTTTTAAGTTAGGTCTTTTCTTTCAAGATATAGGCCTCCAAAGTTTGGGCCCCATACATTTTCTTGACGAATGGAGCGTCGCGTTGCTTAGGCCCTTATTGCCGCTAATTTTGGGCGTGCAAACCCATCTGCAAAATCCGGCAACGTTCCAGGTGTGCACGTGTTAAAAAATGACAAATTGGGTTGGAGCGCGACGTCGAGGGAATCTGTACGAATAAAAGCGGAGCGCGAAATTTGCAATTAGCGGGCACCTCCAAAATTGCGTTCTTAACCCTTTCCGGTCCAACGCATGATTACAAAAACTAGGAGGTGGAAACTGCTATGATTATTTAAAGACATGCTCAAACTTTCTCGAAATGAAGGTATTGCAAAAAAACCGTTTTGCGCAAACAGTTAATCGGGTTCGTCCCAATAGCGAGCTATTTTAGTCCAAACTAGGGTCTTTTTGTAATTATTTATTTAGCGCTGTGTTTCAATATGTTTCCAATTCGGAGTGGACCCGTGGAATCGAGACAGTATTGACTGCTGAGCTATCGAGCAACACTGCAGTTCTAGACTCTTGGCCGGAACAGGTATAAAAGATTTAGTGTTTTTCATGCTGCTTTCGCTATTGACAACGTTGGTATATTAGTAGCAATACGTTCGCAATACGGCAACGCGGTATTCCTTAATTCGTATAATACGATTTTAAAAACGCTAATTTCATATTTAGTGATGCAAGGCATCTTATCTCACCCGCGTTACACATTGCCCGAGACTGGTATTACACGTTTTTTAGTTTTCCGCCAACTACTCATCAGTCTGGCCCTCTAGCAATCTAATTAAATGGAAATATACGTAATGATTCTTTACTCAGCCTATCACCGAGTTACCTAGTTACCTAGGCGGTACGCAGGGACAGATCACTCTAGAAACCGATAACACCCAATTGGAGCCGTGGATCTTTGAGGATCCTTATTTTCCTGTCGGCAAACCGTTAATTTTCGCGGTATGTTTGCAGCCCTCGAAAAATTTAGAATCGTCAACTAGCCTAATTTCTTTGGCCAGAGGCTAAAAAACCGTTTGCAGTGTTATGCAGGCAATTGCGCGATTACATCCGAAGGAATGCACTCCTACGAGATGGACGCCTGCATGGTAAGCAACATAATCGATACAAGGTCGTAATAATTTTCTGCAGCCACCTCCTCCGAAATGCGGCAAGGGCAACAATCGGTGGGTCCAATATTATCTCATTTTCCAAATTCTGGGACGAAACTATGATTTCACAGTTGTTTTTTGCAGCAAGCGTCGTAACGCTGCATCTTCGTCCGATCGACGCGACCAGCTGAAAGCGCTTCTGGGCGGCCGGCTGAAGTTTCCGAAAAAGTTAGGACGACTGTTTGACGCCAAATAAAAAGTTACATGCCGTAACTGACCCTTCTGTACAGCTGTATTCAATGATGCAACAGTGTCAAGCGTAACTTTTTCTTCAAGCAAAAAAGCTTCAACGGTTTCAAAACGACTTTTATTTACAAAAAAAAACCCACACACAAAGCCGGTAAAGCAAATGCAGCATCACAGACAGCAAATAAAAAGGCATTTTGGTGGACATCTTTATTGGTTAGTAGGCCGGGGGGAAGCACAAAAACGAAATTTCATTCACTTAGAGAGAGGGACAAAGGCACAGCGAGAGAGCAGGGCAGACCAGATGATGCCATTTCGAGGACACCTATACATATAGAGGGTAGGGGATGGGAAATGCCTAGGGGCAAGAAATACAAATAAATAGTGAGAATACAATATATGAGTAGGCTGCAGTAGCCAACGAGCATGATCCGATTATTCAGGCACCGAGTTGTACATGAGGATGGCGAAGCAGACCATTGCCGTTCCGAGCACAAAGTACGCGCCGATGTAAACGCCTGAAAAATTGGTTTATAAAACGTATTTCTATTTTTGAAAAAGGTCCCGGATTTGTCTTATTATTTTTAGCTCGTTTATAGTTGTAGTAAACCACCAAATACAAAAAGATAGATTTCTAGGCGTGGAAATTGAAAAAAAAACTAAAAAGGGACGAAAAATAAAATAGAATTAAAATTTCCCATTTGGATGTATAAAAATGTTTTTGAAAAAAGCGCCTTTTTGTAGTTCTACATATTTGTAAAATCCTCATTTTTTCGCAGTCTAGAAAGTACAGAAAAGGAGATTTAGCGTGGAACGTTATTTTTTGCTTTATCAAGAAGCTGATCCTCAACGTCCTTTTCCTTCTAAAAATCGGCCAAATTACCGTACCCTCAAAGACGAATAACGACAGGATGACGACAAAGATGACGGAGACGGCCGAGGCGAACGATTTGTACAGGTTGTCGAGGTGCTTCATCACCAGCGAGATGTAGATGCCGCCGACGGAGAGCAGGCCTAAACACGGAGAATTTGACGGCACCAGATAAAAATTCAAAAGATGAGTAATCGGCTGAAAAGGACATACCAACAATGATGAACACCTTCTCGTCGTACCCGTAGAAGAAGCCCTTCTCGCGGATGGCGCCGTGCTCGTTGAGGCAGCCGAGGGCCGTGACGATCTAGAAAGATACAATGTTTTTTAACCAGAAACCACAAAAATTCCATAAAATTGATAAAACCAACCACTCCGCAGCTGTACATTTGCAGATTCCGAATCCAGAACGGCGTCGAGCCGCCGTCTTTCAGCATTTTCTCGTAGTAAACGCCTAAAACTTTTATATAGCTATTCAAGACAATTTCCCACCTGCAAATCCAGCCGTGAAACACGTCGACAAGACGGCGATAATCCCGACAAAGTAGTTTTCGACATTGCCGGCCTTGACGACGGATTTTTGCTGGATAGTGTCGAGCTAAATTATAACAAGTGTGAATTAAAAAATTAAGGAAACCTGCACAAAAGCGACACCGACGAAAAGCAGGAAAATCGCCACCCAGCGCTTGCCCGAGAACTTTCGGCCCAGGAATGCCATCATGAACAGGGCGGTGGTGACGACTTTCAGCTGGGTTGTCACCTGGAAATTCGATATAATGAAAGATTTATCGATAAAAACTGTTTCTCAATTGTTTTCTACTATTTTTTGGATGTAAAAACTTCTAAATACTCGCTAAAAATTTCAAAAATGTATAGATTTTTTACTCCAATATGCCGAAATTTCGATAAAGCTTCAAAATTTCAATTGAAAAAAGCTAATATTGTATCAAAAATACTATTAAAAAGCCGGCTATGATGATATTTGGAATCTCAGGAAAAAAATTTGGATCCCCTGCGATTTTGCGAAAGGATCTGAAAAAAAGAGAAATTGGATTTTGCCGGCCTAAATGATCAAAAAAAAAACTGCGAAAAGGTTTTATAAAATTTCGGACCCGAGAAATTCTACTTATTCGCCTATAAACCATTATAAAAAGGCGTAAAAGTGCCAAAAAAATTACACTTTAGTTTACCTGATAAACACCCGCATCCAAATTGCTGAGCGCCACGAAATCGAGGTTGTTCTGCAGCGCGTAGACGACGGATGGCACGGACATCTTGGCCAGCTCCCACGGTTGCCCAAAGTAGTGCTTTTGCAGGGTCTAGAAAAATAAATAATCCCTCCAAAAATCTCGGCATACCGTCCCAAACTTGCTGACCGACAGGTTGCCCTCCCTGAAGATCATCGCCAGCGTGATGACCGTCTTGATGAACTCGGCGCACAACACCACGGTCGTCGAGGCGTACAGCTAAAAATTTAATAGAAAAAGTTATAAAATTGCGCCAACGTCTTCAGGGATCGTCGTAGAGCGGGTGTAGCGCACGGAGATTGTGTAGCCCGTCCACAGCACCGTCATTGAGGCTATTACATAGCATTTGAAGGCGAACGAGGCTTGTGGGGCGGCGGATGAGCCTAAAAAAAGTAAAATATAAACTGCAAGCCACAAACAATGGAAAACCTGCTAACACCAACAAAAAAATGTCCAAATTTAGAAATCGATTTTTCAAAGTTTACTTTAAACTATGTTACAAAGTGAAACTACAACATGACAGGTTTTTGGTGCGATATTTGGCGTTTATTAACCGTTTTTAGCTTGTTTTATTCAAAGCTAAAAATAGATTAAAACTACAGGCTAAAAACTATGAAAAATACGTCGAAGATTATTTTTGAACGTCTTACAAAGCGGAAAAACGCTAATTATAAAATTTTCTGCGTAAATGTCGCAAATTCTTGCTCTTTTTAGTCTGTTTTAAGTCATAGCGGTAGATTAAAAGCTACAGACTACAAACTATAGAAAAACGCAAGTTGACACAAAACCAGGCAAAAATCCGGATTTCCAAGCGTCTTAGAAGCGCAAAAACCGTTATATACAAGATTTTTAGCGTCATCTTGGTGCTTTTTATCGTTTCAACCATTTCTGAACCAAAAACCAACCTCTCCTCCCCGAAGACGTGGGCAGCAACGTCTCCTCGTCATCTCGGTCTTTGCCCATCCTGGAAATAGCAACATTTAAAGAGTATTACACCAAAAACTAAAGCCCTCCCACCACCAAGACAGCCCAGGGGCACCCCAAAATGAATAGAGAGGAAACAAGAAAAACCAAGAAAAGAAGACTACGCTAAAAACTTGCTCGTAGCGCACGACAAGCACCGGCTTGTACATTGTCATTTTGCGGGTGGGGGAAAATGACAGGAAAGTGGGAGCCAGGTTTACCGTCTAAATGTAAAAACGGAAATATGGAAATTAGGGTTGGGTTCGAGTTTTTTCCATCGAATTCTCGCCAGCTTACCCGTGCAGTAACGGGGCATTCTCTTCCGTCATTTTTCTGATTCTTGAATTTTTTAGAAAAGGAAATGAATATTGATTTAGAAGAAGAAAAGAATGGAAGAATGGAGGATGAAAAATTCACAGGTTGAAGGCGAGGGCGCCGTCAGCAAAAAGCCGCACGTTTCCGGGCAACACGTATGAGGGTGGGTGGCGATTGTCAAGCCGTTTTTCAAGTGGCTAATTGGGTTCTTTTTTGCTTTTAAAAATGTTTACTTTTATTATTTCGATATTTTCAAGTATCAAGGCGTTCTTAGTCGCTAACTAGGGGTTTTTAGTGCTTAGAAAAATTTGATTCCAGTAAATTTATAATGAAGATGGTTTTTAAGGCACAAACGATCTTTTCAAGGCAATAGTCCATGTTTTTGGCTTTTTAAAAAGTTGAATTTAGCGAAGTTATGATCTACGCTATTTTTTAGGTTTAAAAACACTTCAAAATGGCCGACGATCCGTATTACCGCGAATATATGGACCGGAGAAATCGTGAAGGTAAATCGATGGATTTATCTGTCAAAATGGTGTAAAATATCGGGTTTTTGAAGCTTTTATGTGTTTTTAATAGTTGAAATATAACAATTCAGAGAGTTTAGGATTCGGCCGCTTCGAACCCACCGGCCGTCAATCTACAAACGATGCGGCGGCAAAGGCGCAGGTTGCAGCTAGTGAATATGCTTTGTAAGGCTTTAATTAAACAAAGCGTTTAATGTTGAAAAACTTTATAATTACATTTTCTAGGCCGCAGTACGGCTACAGATCAGATGGCTACACATCTACAGCCTCGCATCTGGGCGATGACCCGATTTCAGCGGTTAGTTGATGAAAAACGTTGTTAAAAATACTTTGAAAAGGTCTAAAAACTAGTTAAACTTTGGAAATAGACTTTAATATATAGGTACGAACGCTGAGAAGCCAGATGCGCAAGAAAATGGTGGATCACGAGAAGTCGGACAGGACTGTGAAGGTGAGAAAAATAAAGATTTTTAGTTCCATAAAATTTAGGCCCATCTCTGCCAAGCGGCCTGCGATTCGCTAAATAAAACTGAAGGGCAATTGGTGTCACTGGATAATCAGCGGAAAAATGCGCTTATGGTTGGCGATACGGGCCGGGCGAATCAGCTGAAAGCACAGATGGAGCAGGTAGGCTTTTTAAATAGCTTTAAAGCTTAAAATCCATGTATTAAACGTGTAGGGAATTTATGGAAGTTTTAAAAATTGTATTTTGATAATTTATCCGTTTTTAAGCGGTTTTGAAAACATTTTTAGGTAAAAGACGACGGGATTCGCAACGCCTATGCAGATTTGGTTACTGAGGATGGGCAGGTTGGGCGTTAAACTCTTCATAGTGTCTTCTAGAGTTTTAACTCTTTTTTAACATTAAATACACTAAAATTTGAGATGCAAGCCTACGGGGTGCGCTCAACTTGGGCCCCGGAAACGATCGAGTCGCCAAGAAAGCCAGCAACGCCCCAGCCACTGGCACCGGCGCGGCCTCGCAGCGAGGAGAGCCGGTTAGGGTTTATATCATAAACTTTATAATATCGTAATAAAAAGCGTGTTTTAATAGTTATAGGTACCTCAAGGGTATTTTAATATACGTTTAAAGCATTAGAGCAAATTACCTAAAAATGACGGTTTTAGAAGGCCAGCAACTCGCACGAGAACCCCCGAACAACGTACGCAAAGCAGGGATCGTAGGCGGTAAGTATAAGTTAGTTTTCCTCACCGTCTAGAGTTTTAAAACGACGTTCTATAAGTTTTTAAAAAGCGTACGAAATTGAAATCAATTTTTCCAGGCCCACCACCAAAAAGGGGAACCACGAGGGCCGATTCCGGCCGGCTAACGCGCCGGTTCGCGAGGTAAACTTAAAAATTAAATTTTACACACTTTCTAAGGCATGGTAAATCAACTTAAGGTAGATAAAGGAAACTTGAAAATAGGTCCGAAGACAACCCCGACAGCCCAGCCCCGATGGCAAGGAAGCGCCGCGGTCATTTCAGAGCAATCGAAGCGCGGCGCCGATGACGGAGTATGATGTGGGTTAGAATTTAAAACGAAAAAATTAAAGGGATTTGCAAGCAAAAAGATCCTTTAAAGGGACAGGCAAGACAAATCTATAGGAATTCGGGTTGATATACCTCTATTTTCTAGCCCGATATCCGGCGGAATGATCGGCTTTCGGAAGTGATGCAGCGCAGAAGGGGAGAGGTAGGGATTTTGAATTCGGAAATGGTAAAGAATGGAATATTGAGAACTAGAAACTAGCTGCAAAAGCATAAGGAGCAGAAGTAATTTTTATTACTCTTTTTTTCTGACAGTTTGTGCAGCCGAGAACGCAGAGCGAGGCAGACGTCATTTTGCGCGACGACCCCTACCGGCCTCCAAATCAATACGGGTCAGTTTTAAAGGGGCTTGGAAGGGAAAATCGGGCAAAAAGTATTTATTGCACGCTTGCTGAATTCTGCTTACAGTATGCTTTTGTAAATAAGAATAATCCACTTACAGTAGGTCGCTCTGAATCCAAAAAAAAATTTAGCATTTTGATAGCGGGCCTGATTCGATGACGGTGCGCTTCAGTTCTTTTCGGAAAAATTTAATTTTTGTAAACGTATTATATCGCTACAGTATTTCCCGTAAAATTTTATTAAAGTACACAATACACTCACAATACGAATATAAAAAATATATCCGGAAGTAACTGGTATCGCAAAGAAAAGTAACTATGGGTGGATTACTGAAAAATAAAAAATCCATAAGAGTCCTGCCTTCATGGTTCCTCTAACCCCAGAAAAATCAATATTTTCGATCCAATTCTAGCCAATAAAAACTAGGCAAGTTAGCAGAGACCATTTCGGAACTTACTCAGCTTCCAGCTCGGGCTTGAAGCCGTCCTTCAGCCCCGGAAATGATGTCATGAATTCAGATCAACTAATAGCAAAAGTACAGACCAGTTTTTCTAGTATTTGGCACAAAAGTGAGGGTGCAAATCGTAAAGATGAAAAATTCAAAAGGGCGCCTATCTTTTGGGCGTTCTTTTAGCATATTTTGGCGCTTGAGAAGCGGCTAGAATGGGTGGGGCACCACGCACCTTTTGATAAGGAATATTTGGCGCTAGGGGGACGAATACATATATGGATCGGGTAGGGACGGAGGGGAGGGATTACACGTTGAATTTTGCTAGGAAATCTTGTAAAAACACCACTAAAAAGTTGTATTAAAATGTAAAATTATTGAAAACACCGTATCGCCTCGTAAAGTCATTAGAAAGGTTCCGGAAATTTGCTTTTACCTCACGATAAACTGGATTGTCAGTACCTGTGTCAGTATTTGTAGAAAAATACATGGAAGTCGGAAAATAAAAAATTTTAAAGTAAAAAAACAAGCAAAAATTATCATAGCTAAAAAGTCTAAACTTAATAACTGTTAAGTGTTAAAATTAAATGAGTGCGTTTAAATTGAAAGTTAATATAGCTAAAATGACGATAAAAGTTACATTCAATGACCAAAAAATAAAATAAAACAAAACTTGAATTTTTCAAAAATAGCAAATTTCACAAAATATACAAAATGCTCCAAAAAAAGCCGATTCCGGGATCAGAAAAAACCTCGACGATTTTTCGCGAAAAGAAAAACCTGGAAAATATTCCAGAAAATTCTCGCAGCGTACAAAAACCGCTTAAAATCAATAACAAAAATATTACGGCATGAAAAGTATACAAATAGCGTCCAAAAACCTCATTATTTTTACAAGAATCATACAGCACGCGCCGCAGTACGCGCCAATACAAGTGACACATAAAAAGCGCAGCCGCCCGAAGAGGACGATTTGACACTTTCAATAGGCGGCGCCATAAATTCCGGAAAATGGGGATGGCCCGGCATGGAATAGACGTCAAAACCATCGATTCATAAGCTGATTCAGCCCCGGAAATCGATCCTAACAAAAAACAGGTAGTTTTTCGATTCGTTCCCGAACAATTAAAGGAACTTGGAAGGCAAAATTCATAGGGAAAAATTTTGGTAGCTCGCCGATGAATGCATCTTTCGATCTTTTCGACATTTTTTGAAAAATGTTGTCGAAACAGGCGATAAGTATCCTAAGAACACCAGGAATTTTTTGTAATTCGTTCGAGAACTTTTTAAAGGGACTTGGAAAGCAAAATCCATAAGCTGAGTTTCTTGCTGATGTCTTGCAAAATGTGTATTTTTCGATTTTTCTAGTAATTAATGCTATTGAACCAGGAGAAAATTATCCTAAAAAACCGCCAGGAATTCTTCAAAATGCGTTGGGGGAATGCGTAAAGGGATCATGAAGCGAAAATCCACAAGCTGAATTTCTGAGCGATAGCCAAAATTCGAATTTTTCGAAAAAAATTAAGGAGCGGGGCAAGCTAGCAGAGATCACTTAGGAAAACCGATCAAATTTGCTTTTTAGCCAATGCAACTACTGCGACCGGGTGGACACCGGATTCGGCCGAAAATCGGGCCTCGAGAAGCATTACGCAACCGACTGCCCGCAGCTGATCAAATGTCGGTACTGTGGAAAGGTCGTACAGGTTCGGATTTTGGATTATTTGTACTAACTCGGATAAAAAGACATAGTTTGTGAATCGCCATCAGCCATCGGTTTTCATTTTAGATAAGGGCAGGCTAGCAAAGATCATTTAAGGTACGCGAGCTGACGCAACACTACTTGGAACGCTGCGCATTCCTGGGCAACCGGATGAGCCGCTGCAATCGCTGCGGGCTGGCACAGGATCGAGAAGATGCCGCGGATGGGGATACGCATCCATTATGTCGAGGTAAGCGAAAATATGCTAATTGCGCCTAGAGTTTCAGAATTGCTCGATTTCGCTTTTGCCATGACTCTATTTTTATTAGTTTTTGGACTAACACTATTACTAAAAGCTGAAGAGCATAGAAAACCTGCCAAAATCACTAAGAAGTGGTGTACCCTGCGGCGGTTACGTAAATATCGCATAGTGGAGTGAAAAAAAACGAGGCCAGGACTGAATCGGCCATAAACTGGGAGCAGTAAAACAGAATCTAGAGATTGGAGAACGTTTGCCAGGAGTACGAAACTCTACCGCAAAACGGTATTTTGAGTAAGACAAGGACGGAAATATAGCAGCTAGATAAAAAACGTCATTTTTAAGTTACACCACATCTATTAGAGTACGCGAGGAAATTCTGGTTGTTGAAACTGTCGTCAAGGTGTTCACGTTGTTAAAACTAAACAAGAAGATTTCTGGCATACAAAAAATTACGGAAGATGCGGATTAAAAACCTCATCAAAACGGTAGATTTTTACCAGAAACGAAAAAATTAGACCTTTTCAAGGATATTTACAAAATTAGCGATCAAAATAATAAGAAAATATAGCTATTCAATCCACCAGTAGACCAAAAAAAATTCCCGCCGAGCTGTGACCCCGATATCCACATTGGATTTACACGTTTCGCCAATTTTCGGCCGGCCCGTCCAGGCAACAGCATGGCCTGTAGTCGAGCTGAATAATCGAAAATGGGGGAGGCGGCTGTCAAAATATGGGAAAGGGGGGAAGAGGCTGGATTGGGCGGGAGGGCGGAAATCGCGGAACAGGGCTTTGCAAAAGGGAGTGAATTCAGGCGTTTTTTTAGCATTGGATTTTACAAAAAAAGATAGAGAAACGAGAGAAGAGAGAGAGAGAGAGAGATAGAGAGAGAGAGAGAGCGAGAGAGAGAGGTGGAGCGGGGGAGAAAGAGAGAAAGAAAGAGAGAGATTGTTTGATAGAGAGAGAGGCAGCGAGAGAGGTGCAAGTCAAAGAGAGCAAGAAAATCTATCCGACTTCGTCGAAAATTTGCTAAAAATTAAAATTTAAACGCGCTAAGGGTAGAAAAATACTATCTAGATAGCTGGCAAACCTTCATCTGGAAATTCAGACATGCCAGCCCCTTTAACAACAGATAACCCCGAACTTTCTAGGAAGAATGGCCCCCTCTGGCGCTCGTTGGTGCCCACTTTGTGCCGTGGCCGTGGATGATAACAAAGAAGCATGGAAGGTGGGAGAGAGGTAAAGAGACAGAGAGACAGAGGAGAGAGAGAGAGAAAGCGAGAGAGAGAGAGAGAGAGAGCGAGAGCGAGAGATGATTCTGATTCATTTAGCGCCATCTCCAAACCGGGCCGAATGGCTGCTACAATAATCCAAGGTTGAACGGCGATGAGTTGGCTTACGAGAGGGAGCGGGAGTAAGCTGACTACATTTATAATACAATGTTCTTAGATTTAACTTTTTTTGGGGCTGAAAGGTTCTGGAAAGGCTATAGAAAAAAGCTCCGAATTTTTGTCATACAGCCAATCTGGAGAGCGACTGCTATAGGAAAAGGAAAAACGATCTAGAAAATAATCGCCACCTTTAGTGCTTATTTGAAAAGATACTCTGCTAAAATTGTACAATTAAAGAATATAATTTGCTTGTTTAGTCCGATTAATGAACGTATTTTAGAGCGGCTGAGGCAAAAACCCGAGAGGAAGGACCGGGAGGTAAGTGTATCAGGACTTTTTAAAAATGTTCAGCGATAAAATGGTAATTTCTAGCAACGAGTAGTTTAAATCAATACCAAAAAGACATCCAAAAGGCATGGTCAATAGGGCGCTGCACGCACCAGGGAAGTGGAATTAGCAAAAAAGCGTACTTGACCCCCAGCACTTCCCCAGGGCGCCTTGAAACACTACCACTCCCCCGGTTTTCGATTTTATCGCAGTAGAGGAGCTCGAGAGAATGAGGAACCGATGGGGTAGTTAATCGTAATGGTTATCAAAAAGTGGCTTTTAAAGGGACGCAAGTAACTTTCATATCTTGCCAAATAACCTAAGCACGACTTCGAAAACTTGGCTTCGTTTTGGCTTGGAATTTGGGGTATAAGCTAGTAGGGCTTTGGGAAAATGTGCATTTTATGATTTTTTTTACGATTTCAGGCGTAAACTCCAAGTCTTCAAAGACCACTACAACAAACAGTAAGCTAAATGGCGCCAAGCTGATCGATGCTGATCAATTGGTAAGTAAGAGAGAGACAGCGAGACAGAGCGAGAGAGAGAGAAAGAGAGAGAGAGAGAGAGAGAGAGGGAGAGACAGAGACAGAGAGAGAGAGCGAGGGAGAGAGGGAGAGACAGAGAAAGAGAGAACCCGAGCTCCTCTTATTCTTATCCTTTAGATCAAAGCCCTAACCAACGCCCAAAACGCCAAGAAAGCAGGCCGAAATGCGAAGATGAAAGAGTTGGAAAATGCGACACGTAAGAACGTTAAAAATTCGGAAAAATTGTCGACATTTAGCCGCTGCAATCGAGAAGGCGAACGAGAAGGCAGCTGCCGAAAAGGCGAAAGAAGCTGCTGCTGCAGCAGCTGCCAAGAAATAAGAATTTTTCAGCATTTTTCTCTGTTTTATAGAGATTTTCTGAACGTCGATCCTGATTACTAATTTTATTACCGGTTTCCTCCACCAAATAAAGTTGCGCAATATAATTGACACTCGACAGAAACGTGTAAAAGCTTCGAAAATGCGTGGAAAAATTTAAAAGTTTAATTAAAGCGCAGTTTGCAGCGATGACTCTTAACCCAGGCACCCGATTTCATAGGCGAGATCAAAGACCATCCCATGCAAAAAGTGACCCAAATTGCGAATTGCGAATTGCCGAGAGCCCATTAATCTGGGCGGAGATTTGGATCTCGAGGAGTTTGATTTATTGTTCCTCTAGCATGTCGGCTCTTACAAAAAAAAACTGAAAAAAATAGAAAACGAACCTAGATGCGTAATATTAACAGCAATACTTTTCGAAATTCTTAATTTTACAATCAAAATAACGATAGCATCCCATAACATTGGGCGATTTAGCTATGTAGATTTTCCAAAATTGCGATGGTTACTGGTCATATTTTAAATTTGTTAAGACAAAATTAAACAAGGTGAGTAGGAAATCTTACGAAACCCTTATACCTGGAAAGCGGAAAACTACAAGAAACCCTTGTTAATAGTACGAAGAATCGATAGATAAAAAGATACAGGATCCAAAAAACCAAGTAAAAGTAAGGCAAAGGTAGCCAAAAATGTCGTAAGGAAACCCGAAAGTCGAGCGGAAAGATTAATTAGCATTCTCGTTACTTTCTTTGATTTTTTTTCGCTCTTAAACCTTCAAAAAACCCACCTCGTAGTGGTTCCCTAAAATGCAGCAGCGCCTACGTGGCCGAGTGAACTTTTTCAAATTCCCATCCTCATCTGGTCCAGTAAAAGCCCATTTGTATTCGGGGAAGCTTGAACGCGAGGTTTTATAAACGGACGGAGAATAAACTAACGCCCAGGGCGCGCCGCGTCCAAGTGTCAGTTGGAATTCCGCGTACTAGTAGAGGAAGGCTGTTTGGAATACGCTATTTTCCAGGAAACGGGGCTGAACGTTAAAAACTTAAAACTTCTACAAAAGGAAGGAAATAGTGTGTACTCTAAAACAAACAAAATAAGAGTCTAGCCATCAAATCTGTAGCTTGTAGTCTGAAGTCTTTAATTTGCCAATTTCCATAACTTTAGGAGTCAAAAATGTCTAATTTTAAGGTGTCGATACCTTTAATGTGTAATCTTGTGCCTGGAGTCACTTCCTTTGAGGTATCTGCTCTCAATCAGCACCCTCTGAATGCGCTCCCCCACCGGCCACCCACCTGGCCCACTCTGCCCGCATTAGTACCTATTGACCTAGTAGTATTAGTACCTGAAACTGAACTTTTTTTTGGCCCAAGCCTAGATTTTTTATATAAATAGTGGAAGTGTTTCTAAATTGTTTATAGCTATTCCTAAACATAAAAACTTTACAAAATTTAATTAAAAAATTTAATTTTAGGTCGAAAAATCGATTTTTTCGGTCCAAAAATGACCAAATTTTCGACTTTTTCAAGCGTTTTTCTAACTTTTTAAAAAGTTTTTCCGATTCAAATAGGCTTAAATTTTGCTAAAAACAATGTAAAAACACTTTATACTTGATTACTATCCCCACCAGGCCCGACAAAAAAAAGTTCAGTTTCCCCCCCGCGAATTCTTTCCCCCCGGGAATACACAAGTACCTATTGTGTACAACGAGATTAACATATTTTTGGAAATGGTTCGGTTAGCAGAAGCTTGCTTCTCGCCGAATAGCGTCGGCCCCGCATTGCACGTAGCGCGGGGATCGGCGCACGTCCCGAATAGGGATGACAATACCTTGAAAATCAGAAGAATTGATGTTTAGGCGGTTGACTACGAAATACTACAAAATACGGAACGCGGCGTCCATAGGAATTTGTGGAAAATGCAAAATTCAGCCTAAAACCGGGCCAAACAAAGCATATAACAGGTCCAGAGCGGGTCCATTTTTCGGGATAGATGGCGATCTTTGTACAAAATTTGCATAATCACCTGGAATTACAGGAAATCCGTTATGCTACTCGTTCCGGATCAACGAAAAAACCTGACATTCATTTCCCTACCGACGCTTCTTCCCAAAATCGTCTATTCCTGAAAAATGTCTGCCCAGGCGGAGAGCCCTATCGTGTGTGGTATGCAAATTTGGTTGAGGTTTACTCTCACTTCAGAATATTCCTTCTACGAGCCCGAGGCCAGCGAGCTCAACGTCAGCGCCCGGGGCCTGCCGCGTGACTTTGATGGTATGTTCCGAATTTTCGGTACTGTACTGGACTGTTAACGGGGGGGGGACTTTTGGCGCCTCAAAAAATGATGAAATCTGGGACGAAATCCAGACTATTTTGACGACATTTTACGCCGTTTTTGGAGAGAAAAGATAAAAAATTATCAGAACTATCGAAAGATTTAATTTTTTTGAAAAATGGCCAAATAAAGTTCAAGTTTTTGATTTTTTATGCTGTTTTAGTAGTCCCTAACCACTAAAAATGCTATAAAATTTACTATATATTGTTAACAGGGTATCATGGATCGGTAAAAAATATGCCTTTCTAGCAGTCAATAACGACTACAAACCCAATAAAATTCACTATATATTGTTAACAGGTCCTATATCATTGTTCGGTAAAAAAATACGAATTTGCTCACTAAGCCTCCTCCCCCCGCAAACACACCAGTACCGGCTTATACAAGGCGTAGCTGAAGATAGGCGCTGGCGCAGATTTAAGCTTACGCCTAGCTAATTAAGTTGTACTCCTTGAACACGTTGCTATTCTTCAGATATCGTCTCCGACGGCTCGATCTATACGCCGCCGCGCAGCACGACGAGCGTCAGCTTTGAAGACATGGAAGGTGAAGCTTTTCAAGATTACCGGGTCGAATATCTAAGACTTTTCGATGTTTTCGCGTATTTTTCTTGATCACAAAAGGTCGAACTGCTCGAAAACGTCGGAAACCGCTCGAATTCCTCTCAATTTATTGATTCCCGGCTCTATCTACCCGGTGGTGCCCAGCGAGACGATTGTCAGCCTGGAGAACGTCGACTTTGACGACTCGGACAGCTTCGAGGACTGGGAGGACGAGTTCGAGGACAGCTTCGACGAGTCCGACTACTCGTTCTACGAGATGCCCGACGAGGAGACGTTCGTTGAAAGTGGGTGGCTTTTCCCAATTTTTTGAGCCTTAAAAATTTTAGTGTACACCGGATACGACGCGGCCATGGGCGGCAACGCCGTTTGGAGTGGGTTTTGGAAAGATTTTAATTGTCGCTCTTTCGCTCTCTCTCTCTCTCTCTCTCTCTCTCTCTCCCTCTCTCTCTCTCTTGCTTGTTCTACCAATATGTTATTTTTAGCCCCCTAAAAGAAGAGCACGAAGAAGGGCGGCAAGGAGTTCAGATGCTCATCTACGCGCTCGCCATCTTCATCAAGCAAATCATGATATCGATTTTTTTTTATTACAGGGCTAATAAATTGTTTTTGACGATGGAACCTTGTTACGTCTGTACCTCTGTCTGTCTGTCAGCCAGTCTGTCTCTCTCCATCTCTCTCTATCTATCTCTCTCGCTCCTTATCTAGCTCTCTCTCTCTCTCTCTCTCTCTCTCTCTCTCTCTCTCTCTCTCTCTCTCTCTCTCTCTCTCGCTCTCTCTCCGCTTTCTCTCTCGGCTGGCAGATCTTTATTCCGTGACCTCTACATCTGTCTAATAACCATGAAATCGCGTTCCTTCTGCTCTACACTCTGCGCTACCCCCACTCGCCACCCACCTGGCCCACTCTGCCCATGTTAGTACCCTGGCGTTGGTACCTAGGTATCGCTTCTGGCCCCTGGCTTAGATCAATTTGTAGTTTATGTTCTTATCGGCTTAATCTCCGATACGTACACTATTGTGTACAACGAGATTAACATATTTTTGGAAATGGTTCGGTTAGCAGAAGCTTGCTTCTCGCCGTACAGCGTCGGCCCCGCATTGCACGTAGCGCGGGGATCGGCGCACATCCCGAATGGGGTGAACAATGCCTGAAAACTCGAAAAAACAATGATTTATACTGCGGACCACAAAACACAAAATGTGTTTGAAGGACCCTAGTAGGCGGCACTTCGAGCTCTCAAGGAATCTTTGCTGGCTTGCTACCAGGGTTGGTCACGAAAAGAGCGGGAGCTGGGAGCGGGAGCTGATTTGCGAGCCCCGCTCAAGAGCGGGAGCGGGAGCTGAAAATTTTCAGCTCCCGCTCAGCTCCGGCTCTTGAGCCGGCTCGTTTGGAAAAGAGCTAGAGCCGAACCCCGCTCAACTCAAACCGGATCCTGCAAATCAGATATCTATACAAATAAGGCAATGCAAGGCCAAAAACACTCAATTTTTTTGGAATTTTGGGAGATTTGCATAAATAACTAATTTTCAGCATCCGGTGGAGTAGAGCAGGGTTCGGCTCCCGCTCTTCTCCAAAAGAGCCGGCTCAAGAGCTGGAGCTGAGCGGGAGCTGAAAATTTTCAGCTCCCGCTCGGCTCCTGCTCCCGCTCAGCTCCGGCTCAGAGCCGGCTCGCAGAATGACCAACCCTGCTTGCCACCAGATTGGCAACATGTTGAAGAAGCGCCATTTTACCTATAGCCAAGAAAATGACGTCTCCTTAGCCGGAAAGTCCCGAAAAGAAAGGATGACAAGAAGCTGCAAGCGCTTATCAATTTTCTTCAGCGTCTCCCATAACCTCATGGCAGCCATTTTTTGGCGTCTGCGAGAGTTTCATGCTTGTCTGCTAAAATTACAAATTTCTCATTGTTCTATGTTTTAGAATGTACAAATATACGCACGACTCGGCGAAGAAGGCTCTCAATAGCTTGGAATATTCAGAAAGTAATGGAGACCTGCATTTTGTAGCTGGCGGGAGGAAAAATGGGCTGGAAAGGTAGCAGATTATTGCTTTAAATTTTGTCTTATAATACTGGTTCATTAAACGTTTACAATAAATCTAATAAAACTACTGTAATTGTTATAGCAAAATTGATACGTCGTTGATAATCTACCATTTTAGAGTCCTGTACTGGCAAAATGGAGGCAAAATCATGAGCATCGATGATCGGGAAATTCCGGAAGGCATCGAACCCCGGTATTTGTGTATTTTCTACCCCATTACTGCCTTTTTAGATACCTTTCTATCGTCAATAAAATTGCCGAACAGCTGCCGCATTTTCTGGAGAAGTTCGAGCAGGTCAAGGCAGAGGTGAGCCCAGATTTTGTGGAGTTTAACCCGCATAAAATTTTACAAAAATTGAAAAAATCGTGTTATCAGATTTATTATGATTACCACAAGTGGAAGGGTCAGCAGAAACTCGGTGAAGCTACTGGTAAGCTTACGCTACATTCCTATCGCCAACGAACCATTTTTAGGCTGTGAAGGCAAGCGGATATTGCTGGTTGTTAAAGACAAAGGAGTGGCTTCAGAGTCTGGTCTTTTTGAGGCCTTTTTGTTATTGGCTAACGGTAAAGGTTGAAGCTTTAGCTTTAACTCAGCTTTCTCATCTCTCTCTCTCTCTCTCTCTCTCTATGCCTCTCTCTATGTCTCTCTCTGTCTTTCTCTCTCGCTCTCTCTCTCTCTCTATCGGTCTGTATTTAGCCGTTTATTTTAGCGCTGAACGACGGAGCACTTGACTTCAGCGGCACCCTCTCGCTTGTCTACAGTAGCGATGCGGAATTAGGGCATAAAATTGAGGTATACTTAATATTCTATAACCCGATCGTCTTCTCTCTCTCGAACTCGCCGTCTCTCTCCTCTCTCTCTCTCTCTCTCTCTCTCTCTCTCTCTCTCTCTCTCTCTCTCCAATTTCCTATTCAGATCAGCAGCCTCGAAGAGATCACCGGAGAGTTACTTACTACCATTTTTAACGTTCTGGAACGGAAGTTGGCAAAGGACATTTTCAAGCAAATTCTGGTACGAATTAAGACGGATGTCGCGAGGTAAGTCCCGGAAATTAATTAAAGAATTTATTCTCGTTGTTAGCTTCCTGGACGACGACGTTGGTGAGCAAGATTTTGAACACCAAGAAGCCATGCTGGCCGAGTACGAAGATTCCGTCTAGAACTCGATTTTTAATAACCAAAAGCTTAATAAATTATTTTATTTGCTTGGTTCCACGAGTACAAATTATGCTAATTCCGATTTTCAAGAGAAAATCTTTTATTTTAAAAAAAGATTTAGATTAAGATAAAAGATTTCCTAGACATTTTACGAACTTTAAAACGGCCAATAAAAACCGTTTCAAAGTTTTAAATTAAAATGGGTTTAAATGTGCCATCGGCCTCAATAAAAAAAGCGAGTAAAAATAGTGTTTCAGGTCAAAAATAGGCTATTCCTTAATTTGCTCCAACTAAATACGTATAATTTAACGATCCAGCCCTTTAAAGCGCACGTTCAGGGAGGGGCCGTGTACTCGTCCCAACGTGTACACCCTATGGACGTAAGGACCGCGCGCACGGCCTGCCCGTGCTGTGACAGGCCATTCCCCTCCTTTGCGGCGTGGGGCGCTCCTCGCCCCCTCGCCATTTTGTAGCTGTGGCTGATTGGTATCCATCCGCGCCTCCCGAGCGGGGGGACCCGGGTTCGACCCCCGTCCGCGGCAAAAGCCTTTGCTTTTTTTCAAAAAAACCTCCCTGAACGTGCCCTTTAAAAAAAGCCCAAAAATCCTTGTAATCTTCCAAAATTTTATTCTGACAATTTTAGACCCGAATGGCTCATCCTAAATTCGTGCTCTGATCCCAGGTTCGAGCTGTACCACTCCACATCTGTTTTTCTGAAAACAATATTTAAGAAAATTGCCTCGCGATCCCGCAACGAATTAAATATACTGTAGCCACCCTGCAAAAACCATAGCGGCCATTTGGACCCGGTGATTTTCACGTACTCCTTGTCGTCCAGGGGGGTCCCAAGGGGATTATTATGCAACGGGCAATCGGGGCGTGTTTTTCTCGGAAATATGTCCATTAGAAGGAAACCGGAGATGATCACGCGGCTGCCAAATTCTGGCTTGCACCCAGCTAATTTGGGCAACTTTTAGAAAGCGGTTGGGGGGTACGTTGTGAGGTGCTTTGGGAGGCAAATTTTAGACATTTTGTGCGACTGGTCCTGGTTTTCTTGGATTACGGTAGAAAGTTAAGGGATCTCTGCCAGCTTGCCTAATCCTTAATTGTGCGAATACCAAGATCTTTGCTAGCTTACTTCCTGCGGCTCGTTTTGGCTCTCTCAGGCTCTCTCAGGCTCTCTCTCTCTCTCTCTCTCGCTCTCTGTATTTATCTGTCTATCTATCTCTAGCGCGTTGTTTATATCTTTCACTCTCTCGCTCTTTCTGTCTCTACGTCTCTCTTTCTCGTGCTCGTCCTCATTTCATTGTCTCACTCCTTCCCTCTCTACCACGCTCTCTCCCACTCTCTCGACCACAGTCTCATTCTCACAAGGAGTCGCTTTTAGGTGCTTTTGGAGTTTCGGGACGAGACCTAGCTAGTTCGATAGAGAAAAAAATTCTGCGCAATATACCATTTTCAAAAAGTGCTGATCGATAAAGGTGTTTTAGAAAATTTAATTTAATTAAAAATGTTCCCGGTATCGGCACCCTTGTGGTGATTTGAGGTGATTTACGGGGGTCGAGCGCCCCTGCCACATGGGGACTTCACGCGTCATGGATCCCGTCCAAGGCATGGCCAAGTGGCTAGTGCGTTGGCCTACGAAGTTTTTTTTACCTTTTGCCACAAGTTCGATTCTTATTTATCTTTAACTCTTTGCTTTTTTGCTAATTAAAATTTTATGCACCGATAACGGGTTCAAGAAACAAAAAGCAAAGGGTTAGCCAGCGCGAAGATTCGAACCCGAGGCAAAAAAATGTTAAAAAGTTGGTAAGCAAGCGCGCTACCAATACGCCAATGCAACCTGTGGTCGACGCCTTGGCGGAGGGTTATGAATGGTGCCCGGCCAAGCCCCGACAACGACGCGAACCGAGGAAATGGACCCGAACACTAGAAAAAAATAGCGAACTTTAAATTAAATTTTCTAGAATTCCTTTATCGATCAGCACTTTTTGAAAATGGCATGTTGCTCAGAATTTTTTTCTCTATCGAACCAGCTAGGTCCCGTCCAGAAACTCCAAAAGCACCTAAAAGCGACTCCTTGTCAGTCCAACTCTCAGCTCTGGCTCGCTTTCGCTCGCTCTCTCTCTTTCTCTCTCTCTTTCTTTCTCTCTTTCTTTCTCACTCTATCTCTCTCTCTCTCGTTCTCTCTCTATCTCTTTATCTCTTCCTCTCTCTCTTCTCTCTCTGGCTTTCCCTCTCGCTCACTCTCACTCTCTATCTCTAGAAAATGGACTCCACCCTGCAAGGCCATCTCGTCCTCTTTAACGGCGGAATGGGCATCGGCCTCAATATTCTCTTGCTCTATTTTATCATTACAGATCATGAGGTACGGTAGCTAGAGCAATCAGCAAAATTTATCGCTATCGTTTCAGGGCCGTATGAACAGCTACGGACGGATGCTGGGGTTGGTCGCGTTCTACAACCTCTACTACAGCTGTGTGCACTGTGTCGTTGATGTGGTAAGTTAGAGAAAGAGAGAGAGACAGAGAGAGAAAGAGAGAGAGAGAGAGAGAGAGAGAGAAAGAGAGGGAGAGAGATAAAATGAGAGAGAGAAAACAATGAGAGATACAGAGATATGTTAATTTCTAGGGCGTTCGAAGTGACGAGCGCGGCTTCATCATGTTCAGCAAGTCTCTGGCCGAGCTGGGTTGGTGGCCAGCTTATATCGCTATCATGGTTTATAATTATTGAATTTTATTTAAGCTTATTTTAGATCTATTGTGACTCATTCACAATGTCCCTCTCCCTGTTGACGATCCATTGCGTCTACCGCTACACGAAAATTACCGGGTAGGCCTTGGGCTAAGTATCACTTTTTGTTTGCCACCAAATTAGGGTTCAGAGTCCACATTACCACTTAGACGAGAGCGCGAGAGAGACAGGGAGGGGAGAGAAAGCTAGAGAGAGCGAGGGAAAACGGTGCAAAAATCAGGGAGAGAACGAGAGAAATTGTGAGAGAGCGAGAGCGCTGGAGAGATAGTGAGAAAGAGAGCCAGCGAGAGAGACAGAGATAGACAGAGTGACATCCTAATTTCAGAAAATTCCCACAGCTCTTCTCCAACCCCTGGTACCTCTTCGGTATTTTTGCTGCAAATGTGGCATTTGGACTGGCGTACTGTATCCTCTGTGACTACTCAATGCATGTAAGAACTACGAATAACACCTATGTCAGAATGACGACAGTTTGAAAGCTTCAAATTACCCAATTAACATATTGTAACTGTTTAGCCATCGAAGATGCGAGACGAGTACAGTCGCACCGAGGTGGCGACGATGTACCATGTGAGCACGGATGGGCTTGGATATATTGGGCCGACGTATAGTGTGCGTTTTTTGGGGTCGGAGTTCGAAAAGATGGGCAAGCTAGCGGAGATTTTTGGGGAACGTAGACCGGCAGATATCATTGGAGGTGGGGGCAAGCTAGCAGAGATGATTAGAGGTGAAGGCAGGCTATCAGAGATCATTGGAGGTGAAGGTAGGCTAGTAGAGATCATTGGAGGTGAAGGCATGCTAACAGAGATCATTGGAGTTGAAAGTAGGCTAGCAGCGATCATTGGAGGTGAAGGCAGGCTAGCAGAGATCGTTTGAGGCGCAGGCAGGCTAGCAGAGATAATTGGAGGTGAAGGCAGGCTAGCAGAGATCATTGTAGGTGAAGGCAGGCTAGCAAAGATCATTGTAGGTGAACGCAGGCTAGCAGAGATCGTTTGAGGCGCAGGCAGGCTAGCAGAGGTTTTTTAGGAAGAGAGCAGGCTAGCAGGGAGCATTTGCGCGAGAATTAATAATTCTCTGGCTTCACAATCCCTTTAGTGGCCAGATGCCGATGGAAAAGAGAAAATCATCTGGCGCACATTCCTGGGCTGCGCGGGCTGTATGTTGATCCTCATCGTCCTGTACAACGGCGTCTGCATGTTCGGCTTCAGGCTGTGGGTGTTTTCCGGAATACATTTTTGGCTTCCCAGTCCCCTTAAAACTTTCAGAAGCGTCCCGGCTACGGTAGAAAATCGTCATTTCCTTTTTGCTGATCTGCTTACAAGAATTACGATAGAAACCACTTGTTTTTCCGGTACCTCTTCGTCCGTAACTCGGTCATCAGCCCCCAATCGAAAAAGATGCAATTCCAGCTGCTTCGTTTATTATTTATACAGGTAGTTTAACCAGGTTGTAGTCTAAGATTCCGTCCTATACTTTTTACGGTTTTGAACGTGGTCAAAAGTACTAGAAATCAACGAAAAATTCGGTTTTTAGGCAGTGGTGCCCCTGATTTTCGAGTACATCCCATGCGCCTTTGGGTTTTGGTGTGGATGGCTGAGTACGTGATATTCCTATAGACATTTATAGCCACTAAACTTCAGAATTCTCGATCGTCACCAGGGAAACGTCATATTTCATCCCGATTTTCATCTCTGGCTACTCGCCCGCTGAGGCAATTTGCACGCTTATTGGGTTTCCGGTGAGAAGACGCTGAAATGGAGATTTCCCCAAAATTCTCTGCTAGCTTGCCCTAATCCCCGAAGAAGCTAGTTAGCTACGCTACGCTGCTGTAGGCTACGCTTCCATTCCAGGCCTATCGACGTCGAATCCTGCGATATCGCCCGAAAACCTCGCAAATCCACTCAAATTCGCTGCCGGCGGCATCGGATGCTACGAAAAACACCTCTATACACCCACTCGATCCACAGGCTTTGCATGATTAAACTCTAATCTTTAAGCGTGTTCTTTTGACTTTGAAAAATGTATTGAACTTCCGTGTCCAAAAAAGCTAATCTATTTCGTGACTACAACTTCTTACCTCAATTTCTTTTTTTAAAGTTTTTACCATTTTTTGGTCATAATTTTACTGAATAAATACTTGTTTTTTGGCTTATTTTCCATAGGTTTATATCGGAAATCAGCCCAAATGATGCACAGCAGTGATTTCTACAGACTATACTTTTTAAGAGTTTTCAATTCGATCAAA